TGCTTATTTCCCAAGATCTCTTACAATTATGTTGCTTTTCTTGCGTGTTTCAAGACAGTAAAATTATTTTACAGTGCCTCCAAACACTAACGTTGCGGGTGGTGGCGGTACGAGGAGCTACGGTATCACACGCGGCGCCTGTGCTTGGGAGCATTGAAAGATAATTTTTGCTGCCTTGAAACACGCAAGAGGAGCAACATAATTGTAAGAGATCTGTGGAAATAAGCATGAGTGATAAGTTTATTGCATGCACAGTGCCAAAAACGCTCATATTAGCCGAGGAACGCTTTCAGTACGATGATGGTCCATAGCAATCTTCGTGCCACTGGTTTTAACAACCCTTTCGAAGCGTCAGAGCTGAGAGCGATGAGCCAATCGCCTTGAGAGGTTTTGTCGTCTGTGTGTTGGTATTTGTTTGTGTCCGGCTAGCAGGTGGGAAGGCAATGGCGCTACTTTCCCAGATTCAGTAACTTTAGGCTGTACAAACTCCTCCGAGCTTGCCAGAAAGGGCTCTGTGACCAGGCCAGCCAGGCGGCCAGGCGGCCCGGCTCGCATCGCACCGGCGCACATCGCCGGGTCGCCGCATGCGCAGCGCCGCCAGGGAAAGGGCTTCTCTGGTGGCGACTTTTGGAACCACGCCGCACGAGTTCCACAACTGAGGTCATCTAGTAACGTTGGTTTTACCGCAGCGCGGCGTGACGTGAGAGCGCAAGGAATAGCTACACAAAGCGCAGGTTCCTCTGCTTCTTGCACAGGAGGGGCGATGCTGTCAGGACGCTTTCCTTTTAATCAAATTCAATCAGAACTCGGCGTAGTTCTGACCTCACCGCCAGCCACCCTTGCGCAAGAAGCAGACGACTTGATTTCCGCATAGGGATCAAGGACTATTATTCTTAGCCTGCGTGCTCGAAATCACGCTTTCTGTTCGCGAGGCCATAGGGAATTAAGTAGGATCGATCTCTGCGCAAGCTCCCCTCGACTGCGGGAAAACAAAAGGAACGATATCGACGGCGTGCGTATATATACCCACGCAAGGCCGGACACGCAGAAGCACGTATACCTGCTTTATCAAAGAATTACTCATCAGATGCCGGCTGCTTCATAAATTATACGAACGGAAGCGCACCACCGCATATCAGGTCCGTCGCAGTCACATTCGTCGAACATTTAGACGTTTGTGGGCCCTCGAAGCGGAAGCCGATATCAGGGATCAAACAAAATGGCGCTGATCATGTATATGCGCAGCTATAATACACCTTTCTTTTCGTTCTACGAAGCTAATTATTTCCCCCCTTTGTTCCCCTCAAGAATCAGGCAACCTAAGCTTGTCCCGAAGCGTTTCAGCGAAGACAGCAACGAAACTTCTACCCCCGCAGGTGTTGCGTAATATTTTGTTTAAACCAACACTCGTATAACTCTCACCTTCTTTTTAATCTGTTTGAATGAGAATCAAACACCCCGTATGGAAAGATTAAAAGGTAAAATCAATCTAAAGTGTCCTCAAAAGAAGCCCCTGTTCTCTGGTTGGCCGCGCAGGTAATTTGATCAGCTCCCCGAAGTCCGCCATGTTATAGCTTGGATTTCAAAAAGTGCGCTGTGAACGAACTGCAACCAGGTATGTTAATTTTAGGCAACGAAACACTTCCCCCCCCCCCCCCACACACACACACACACGCACGCCATCAATCTCCAGGCATAATAAAAGGTGCAGCAGACACACTTTCTTGCTAAAAAAAAAAAAAAACACAAAGATTTTTTTTTTTTTTTTTTTTTTTTTTTTGCATTACAACAGTTGTAGGAAGGCAGGCGCCCGACCACACTTCCGCGAATAATAGTTATCGATTGATTTTTGGAGCTCGCTGTATAGTTTGCTTTCGCGCAGCCATTGCATGTTCAGTCACCGCTGTGATAAAATAAAACGAGAAATAATAATAAAACTAGGGGATTTTTCGTACACCGTTCCGATACCTCCGATAACGATAGACGTGCTCCCCTGACGCCTTTGCGTATACGTCGTATCGTTATCGGAGGTATTCAAACGCTCTATACTCAAACTCGATCCCGACTATCAGCATCGATCCCCTCCGCTTCCAGCGTCGACGGACGCGCATTCATTTCGTTCCAGGGGTAGGGCGGAATACGTACCTAAGAACGTAGCACGTCACTCGATCCGGGATCTCCTTTCATCGTGTAGACTTCTTTTCTTTGAACACCGCGACGTTTTCGCGACCGTCGTCTCGAGCAACGTTTCATCCAACAGAAACTGCGGCGTTTCGACTTCGGGAAAAGACGCATCACGCCCTGCGACGCTAATTCAATTAGGTATAAGAAACAAAACTTGAAAGTATAAAACAGAGAGGACGAGGACGGGAACAGGACATCTGTTCGTCCTCGTCCTCTCTGTTTTATACTTTCAACTTTTGTATCAATTGACCAACACGCTCGTTTTCAATTGTAAGGTGTATGGAGGCCCCGCACTCCAACGACGGCCATCTTGAACGCGAACGGCTTTCGTTTCGAAATGAACTGCTGGGCTGGTTGGATAAACATCGTAAAAACAATTAGAGCGAAAGACAAGACGAAGAGCGCTTGTCCTGTTCGTATTTTCATCTTGTTCTTCGAGTTGTTTTCACCAAGGCTTCGTGTATAAATGCAGTTCAGTTTAAGACAGACATTTGAATTCATACGGGTAGCTTTCCCTCCCAAATCGATATATTACCCATCCATCAACCGAGCATATACCTGTGGCGACGCGGGCGATTGCGGGGAAGGAGGGAAACGCGCTTGTGAAGTTAAGTTTCTGCTGCCGTCGCCTGCGATATCCCTCAACATCATTTAGATAAACCAGCCCGGCAACCACTGCCTCCCCCCCCCCCCCCCTCCCCGTGCCCACGCCGGTGTTGCCCCTGCGCACTCTTCTTCACCCCCCGTCAGTGCACTTTCACAGACATACGAGCGTGCGCTGATTGGACGACGGTGACGCAACGCTCGCGACCAACTGGTGTTCTGATGTGGGACAAAGTGCGCTGACGCTTCGTGGTGAGCGAGGAGGAGCCTAAACTAGTGACGTCACGGCCGCAGGGCTGGATTGACGACGTCACCTACCGGAGTTCAGCGCGGGGCACGCATTGGACGCGAGTCAACGTTACTGACACACTCAGTTGGGAAACTCGCCGTCGAAGCCTGGGCCGCTGGCGTCCACCGAGACCGAGCTAAATGCGACAACAGCGCCACCCCTTTCCGTTTGTCTGCACTGTGGGCACCTCGAGCTTTTTGAAAGCCTGTTTTTGCGTAAAAACAAAAGGAAAAGACTCTTTTTGTATGAAATTTATTGGAGTTTAGTACCAAATGATGGGCGCGTGATGTTTTTATCATCTTTAATTCGCAAAGTTTTGCGGAACAATTAATATTGTTTTTATACAACCTTGCCTCAGCGGGCCTTTCAGGTAGCGCGTCCCGCCCTAGGTGCATTTTAACTTCGGTGGTAGAACGCGGCGCGTCCGCCGGGGGGGACGGGGGTGGCGCCCCATAGTTATGTTTTTTTTTTCGTTACCTCCGTCCCTGCATCTTTGTAGCGTACATGTTCCTATTGTATACCGGTGTGATTTACGTCTTGCAGTTTACAGTGTCAATAAACTTTTCTTTAAACCCTGTAACCTCTACCGCTGTATCTGATTTTAAAGCCTAAATAGTAGCCACGTGCAGTTCCTCGAGTGGCCGCTGCGAGAGAAATGTGGCGTTGTGTTCGTTATTAGCTCGGTGGTCGGAGACAGATTGGGGCCACTTTTTCAAAGTTGTCTCTATGGGAGTTTCCCAGCTGAGTGTTTTAGTAACGTTGACGCGAGTGCTGCGTCAGCGTTCGGTTGGAACTCGAGTCCAATGAGTAAAGACACAATGGATGGATGGATGCTAATGGCAGCACCACTTATAACGGGCGGTAGCTTGCGTCACCTGGCTTAGAAACCAAAAGTATGATTCATCCCCTCGCCGTTCCAAGACAATTTGCTCCCCGTCTGCAATTTTCTAACTGACACCAGGCAGTGTGGGATATCTGCAGAATGACCTTTAAGAATATCGAAAAAAACAAAAAAACTAAACACATCACTCTTCCCCCCCCCCCCCCCCCCCCTTCCAACCCCGGGCCTCCTTTCCCCGGCGAGGGAGTCGCCACGGATCTCAGCCAATCGATCATGTCTAAACTATTTTGCGGGCGCTTCGTTTCGGCAAGAGGCGAAAGTCGAAGAACAACACCGAAACGCGAGCTCCCTGTAGTGGAGTTCACACGGAAGCACGATATTTATTCATTCACCTAACAGCACCCCTATCCCCTTGCCTAAGGGCACACAACCATCCCAAACTTTTTTGGACATCAACGCGTCGGAGCATGCACTAAGATGAGCATTTTAACTGAACAACAAACATTGCAATGTTCCCGGGGAATTACTAAAGCTTACTTTTGGACGCGTATAATTTTTATTCCATAGCTCTACAATGTTTTTTTTCATTGAATCTTATAGGTTACACTTGTTAGTGAGTGTGTTGGTAATGGTGTAGGTTTAGAAAGCGTTATATACGTAAATACAGGGGACGGGACAACACAACACATGTGTTGTCCCGTCCCCTGTCTTTACGTATATAACTTTTTCTAAACCTACATTATAGGTAACATTCACAAAATTGTTTATCCCTGCTTTTCTTGACAAAAGATCGTAATGATCCCGAGGAATGTAATTGCCTGTGTATCATAGAACGCAATTCAATTAGGATTTTGCTATTTCATTGAACACTTTTAACTCCACGAAATGACTGAGAAAGTCGGCCATGCCATAGACGAGGAACATTATTGTCACGAAAAAGACATGCTTTCAATCAATGTATAAAACTTTTTTTTTAACTACCTAATTTGCGACTTTTCTTTTTGACGGTACAACTATATCCGCGTGTGGCAGCTATGACACATGCCAGTGTCCGGTTCTTATGTCGCTTACGTCTTCCGTCAGGCTGGCGCCAGCCTGCAGGATCGCTGGGGCCACCTGGCACAGCTGACGGATTTCGCGCTTGCTCTCAAGGACACGCTGAACAACATCAACCGGGAGAGCTTCAACAACTTCGTCCTCAAGATGGGTACGCATGTCCTTTCGTACTTGTAGCTAGAAGCCTTGTCCGGAAAGCAGACTCCAAGCAAGCGGACCCCCTGACCTGTGGCCACTCGGCTTGCTCGTGCAAGCCTTCCGGGAGGTTTCCTTGAAGGGGCTCTCTTCTGGACTTTCTCGTCTTTTCTGAAGGGTTTTTTGGAGTGGCTTTCTTGTAGGGGCTTTCCTAGAGGCCTTCTTGAATGGGCTTTCTTAGGGTGCCTTCATGTGCGCTTCGCATAGAGTGATGCCAACTGCCTGTTTCCCTTTCCCACACCCTCTTCCACCGCCATTTTGTTCCTCTCATTGTTTCCCCGAGCACCGGAAAGTGCCCTTTCCTCCGAGGGGGGAAATGCTAATCCTCCCTCCGTGGGTTCCACAACGCTGCTCCGAACTTGTGAGATAAGGTACTTGTTTCCGGGAGGGTTATAAGCCCCACGAATTATCGCCGAGAACCAAAATGGCTGTTGGTTTGTCGGCGAGTGGTATTACAAAGGGTGGCATCACCCAAGCGCACATGAAGGCTCCCTAGGCTTTCTTGTAGACCTCCTCGTAGGGGCCTTCTTGCTGACTTTCTTGTAAAGGCTTCCATAAACACTTTCTTGAGGTAGGGAAAAGAGGGGGGGGGTGCCGGGAGACTTTTGTCAAAGGAGCTTTCCTGGATACTTACTTTTCCGCGGAGGTTTTCCTGCGGATTTTTTTGAGAGGATTTCCTAGAGATTTTTGCGGAAATGGAAATATGTACGTGGAATCGATGATGTGGAACCGCACTCCACAAAGCGCGGGGAAATTTGAATTTTGTTCTCGAGTACCGAGAAAACATTCTTCGGGTAGCTCAAATAATCAGTGGCGTTCACCTTTAACGCATAGGAAGGAAACAGAAACGTCACCCGAGATAAAGCATTGTTATGTAGTATTGGCGTTATTTTCCAAACCTTCTATAAAATTCCATACTATAAGCTTGTATAGAAGGTTTTACAGCCTAACCATAGTAAACATGTGTGTTTCATCGAAACAGTGACAGCAGCAACCTTAGTTACAGAAGGGAGAGACCACTGTCACAGGAGTTGGTGTTTTGTGTTCTTCCCAATATCTATATCAGCGATTGCCGCACTTTCCGGCAGGCATCAACCATGGTCCCATCACGTCAGGGGTCATCGGGGCACGCAAGCCCCATTTCGACATCTGGGGAAACACAGTCAATGTGGCCAGCCGCATGGAAAGCACGGGCAAGGCAGGGAACATTCAGGTAAGAAACTCCACAGCGGGAAGAACGGTCTTGTCAGCGGTGCACGCCAATGAAATCGTCTTTTTTCATTGTTACTGATCCACCAAGATTGGGCTTGCAGTATACCGTAAATAGAAAGAAATAATTAATTCATTAATAAAATATATGCCAGTCTCGAGAGATATTCACGAAGTCGCTGGAAAGCGGATGTCTCCCCGAAGATTAGGAAGTCGGAAATGTAGCTCCGGATACATAAAACTGATCAGAAAAGCTGTGTCCAAATTTATAGACCTACGCATCTTTAATGAGCGAATGCTGCAAAGTAGTGGAACATGTAATGTATTCTAATCTTGTCTGTCATATTAACGATTTTTTTTTTTACTTCTGTTCAGCATGGGTTTTGAAGTGGATTATCATGTAGCACAAAACTGCTCGTACTTTATCACAATCTTTCTTGTTCATTCGATAAAGGTCGTCAAACTGCTTGCATATTTCTGGATTTTAAGAAAGCTGTTGATGTGGCTAATCACCCCCTTTTACTTGATTAGCCAGACAGCTTAAACAATGATGAAAACGTTTTACAGTGGATAGCCAATTAGTTTGATAAGATAAAACGACGCGTTGTCATGAATTAATTCATTGCATGTAGATGTCACGTCAGGTGTACCGCAAGGTTCCGTCTTAAGCCCTCCTCTTTTTTCTTTTTTTTTTAACTCCCTCTTCTTGTTTTTAAAATGTATATAAATGATATTACACATGAAATATCTTCGAACATAAGGCTGTACGCGGACGACTAAAACGCTCTTAGGCCGCCGCCATGTTGCTGATGCGGCTGGCGTGACTCTCGCGCCCTCTATCAGCTAGAAATTTTCTGCCACTCTCTTGGACTGCGAAGACCCGCTCAGCGCGGTTCTCTACCTAGGTTTTTGCTCTTTTGCATTCGACGTTTTCTCGCCCTTTTCTAAAGTTCCTACATTTTTTTTTTTTTTTTTTTATGTGTGCTGCGTATTTTTTTTTTTTTTTTTGTCTGTTATCTGGTATAATTCTTTCTCAAGAACCCGGGAAAATGCATGCACCACGAAACACAAAGTACAGCAAGACAAGAATTTAGCCGCCAGCAGTGTTTGAAACTGCGCCTATGCAGGCTACGCCTATCGAAATCAGTCAACTCGGTTAGGGTTAGCAGGGACGCCGGTGAAAGTGAATCCCGGAGAAAAGCTCACCGGAGAAAAGCTCACCGGAGAAAAGCTCACCGGAGATAAGCTCACCGGAGATAAACTCACCGGAGAAAAGCTCACCGCAAAACCGGCGGATGCGGAGCGTATGCGGAGAAAGGCTTACCGATTTTTTTTTTCTTCTATTTATATAAAGGCTGTTGGATCATGCGTAACATATATCAATTTATCATTAAAATTCGTCAACTTTCTAAAAAAGAAAATCTAATTGTTTGTAATATTTGTTAAGCTTATTGGGTATACTGCTCCCAAAATAATAATTGCGGGCGAGTGTTTTTGTGGCCTGCTCTCTAGGCAACGAAAGCCTAATTGAGAGCTTTATGAACTTGAAGAACAGGAAAAAGTTGAAAACTTAATGTCTGCCTAAAACCTAAAAAAACAATGTTGTAAATGCCGAATATCCGGAAGTGGATGCGCAACAACGCGCCGCTTGAAATTCTCTTTGAAGCTTTTGTTAACTTTTGAAAAAAGTATAAAACAGTCAGTAGAATATCGAGGCTTCTTTCTTCCACGGACATGCACGTTTTCTAGCCGTTCGTGCTGGCGATCCGCACGTTGCCTTTGTGGAATAGTGCTTCTTCAACGGTGAGCCACCCATGACCTTCAGAGCCGCACACTGGCATTGTTGTTACTCGTGAACTATATAAGAACTCGTATTATGTAAAGGAGAAAATTGGGCGAGTTGGCAAATGTTATACATGATGAAAACCGCTCAAATGACGGCGACTGAGTGAAGACAACAAACACAAGACGAAGCTGTTCTCGCAACTAAAGGTTTGTTAGTGAAATTAATAGAAAGAAAACATGTAGCGGACTCTGATTAAATCAACAAACGCCTTTTTTTCTATTAGGCAGTGCACAATATTCGGAGCTGAAACGGTTCATATTAGCTCGCAAAGAACAAACCTTTTCATCTGACAGAGCTACCGACGGCATACTGTCAGCTGTCAATAAATTGCTGTCTTTTTTACCGGTGTACGATGTTCTGGACATATGTTAAATGAAGTGACGAATGCGAATTGTGTTAAATTGCCAGGTTTGGCGCGGAATCCGCTAAGTTAAAAACAAAATCGGTGAGCTTTTCTCCGCATCTGCCGGTTTTGCGGTGAGCTTTTCTCCGGTGAGCTTTTCTCCGGTGAGCTTTTCTCCGGTGAGCTTTTCTCCGCCGCCCGGTGAAAGTCACCCAGTGAATGGGCTCGAAAACGGTTTGCTACCCTTGGGGTCAAGTGCTTCTTGGAAAGGTGTATAAACGGCTCTGAACTGCTTATCACCAGGGAGGCGACTTACGACCAGCTGCGCAGTCGGTCGTAAGTAGTCGCAATTTAAAACGGGGTTTAGGCAACACCACCAAGGTAACCAGAAGGCCTCCTTACCGTCATCACAGTCAGATCGATCGAGGCCAGAGATTGGGCACGAGTGCTGCGTCAGTGTTCGGCCGGGGCTCGTGTTCAATCAGCGCGTCGAAGGTCAGACGGTTAGCGCGAGTCCACTGTGATGACGTTTTATGAAGGGAGGGGAGGCTTTAATTATTCTAGGTAGTATTGGTTTAGGCCTCTTGTGACTGCTCAAGGCCCCATTCTCACTCACTCACTCACCCACTCCAAACACACACACACACGAACGCACGCACACACACACACTTGTGTTTCACTGCGACCGAATGAGGCAAGACCGGTTTTTAAGCCTCTTGTGACGACTTACGACAGGCTCCGCAGCGGTGCATCCGGCCGTAAGCCATGCAAGAGGCTTAAAAACCGCTCTTGTCTCATTCGGTCGCAAGTGTGTGAAGTGGCCTTTTAGGACTGTTTGTGCAACGGTCAGCAAAATAGGGCTGGGGCGATAGGCGGGACGCTGCAGAACCCAAAAACACCACTCATACAGTAATATCCCTAACAAATAAAAATGATTTTTCAAAAAAAAAAATGCGCGATTGAACGCGGTTAATGAGACATGTGACGTCACGATTCTCATTTCCTCTCCTCCTCACTTCGTCCCGTCGAAGCCAGGAGGAGAGAAGCGAGGCCGCTTCCGCTCATTCTCAACTCTTCCAGAAAAATGGTGACGTCAGGGTCCTCGCTTGATCGCGCGCTTCTTTAAAAAAAAAAAAAAATGCGGCCATCCCTTTGAGATATTGATGTATGAGAGAGGTATTGGAGTTAATAGAGTCGCGTTCAACGCTTCTGCATCCATATTTCGCAATACAAATTTCATTTCAGTATTCCTTTAATAACGGTTTTAGCCTCTCCGGTCGTAAGCAGTCGCAACTGTGCGAACCAGCCGGAGTACAGTCACATGTCAGAGTTGCCATGTGCTCCAGGTGGTGAAGGAGACGGCGGACATCCTGGAGGCGTTTGGCTTCAGCCTGGAGCAGAGGGGCCTGGTGTCCGTCAAGGGCAAGGGCATGCTCATGACCTTCTACCTCCTGGGCAGGCGGGGCAGCGTGCGCACCAACCCACTGGCCGACGACGACGTCGCCACCGCCCTCCCCAACGGGGCACCCCACCCCGCGGGGCCGGACCCCGCAAGCCCCAGCTGAGGGGCTTAGGCCCCACGCTCACTCTCTCGCGTCACGGTGCGTACGTACCTCTACCACAGCTAGGTCCCCAAGCAGGGTGAAAGCCTTTAAAGCCACTCCTGCCACCATCTGTCGGTTGTTGCGTCAGTCAGAAGGGGCGCGGTTAGCAGACGGACGCCGTAGGTAGAGAAAAGGGATTATAACTTCTTTTTTTTTTTTTTACTTTTTACTCAGTTAAGTGTTTCTTTAAAATTTTGAAGCGATACTTCCACCACCTTGGGACACCTTTGTGGTAAACAGTGGCGGATCCAAGGGGGTTGGGGCGACGGGGGCGGCCGCCCCCCCCCCCCCCCTCCCCCCTTCTCGGAGGGCAATTTGCCATTGGTGGACCCCCTGGTGCACAAGAAAGAATAGAATAGTATCCTTACAAATTTTCCGCCCCCGCCCCGCCCGTCCCCCCCCCCCCCCCCCCCCAAAAAAAAAAAAAAAGAAAAAAAGAAAAGGGAGTGCTGGATTTGCCCCTGGTGATAAATCAAAGTGTAATATTTCACCAACCTCCTCACCCGGCTTCGGGTCTTCGTTGTAGATCACAAGGCAATAGTGCGTAATTTTTTACGCCACAGACTTAACACGACGGTTGTGTCAGCGTTCGCTGGGACTGTGTGCTATCAGCAAGAACACGAGTCCAAGTTGAACACTGATGCAGCACTCATAGTCATGTTCATCTTGTGTCCCCTGCTTGCCTGCGGAAGATGACGTAGAATATGCAGCAATACGGCCTTGGAGTGTTGCACTCACGTGTGGGAGTCCCTAGCCGTTTTGGGAGTGAGGGAGACCTGACCCTGCCTGCCCTACCAAGCCTGACTTAACTCAGCTAACCAGCTTTCCCTCCAAACTGACTTAAGGCGAACAACCTGCCCTTAATGCAGCGACGCCTCGAAGTTGAAAAATTGAAGGCTAAAGTGGAGTGCACAACAAATGAGACAAAAATTTGCCCCCATTGGTTTGCGGTGACCTACTTCTGAAATTTCTCCAGTTTCAATTGCTGGTTAGGGTGGGACACGGGGTTTAGAAAAGCCGGACAAGATTACGAGATCGGGCCCTTCAGACATCACAACTAAGTTGGGAAAATAAAAAGTGCCGATAAAAATGTGGAGGCCATGTTAAAGTTAAGGACTCACTTAAGGCCTTAGTCATTCTGATCCACTAATACTATACATAGTTTGGCTGCTGCAATGGTGAGGTAGAGCAAACCAGCAATTGTGAAGAGAAACAGAAACACCACCAAAAAGTTCATAGACAACTGCAAGCATAAATCGAAAGTATAACTATGCAGGTAATGCAGAAGAGCTGGTGATGGTCGGCCAGAACTATGCTTTTGCCGTCGTTTCCAATTACAGTAAATGCCCTTACAAGCCCCGACATTTCATGGTGGGAAGGCACCATACCCACAAAACCATATACACACAAACATGAAAAATAGATGAGGGCCTTATGAGGAGGAATTTCATACAATCGCCTCTTTCCCGTTAATATCCTCTAAACGAGCAGTGTAATTCCCATGCAAATGCAGCTGGCTTGATGCGTACTGGACACAACATATGCTGCATGAAATTGCAAACATGTTTAGTGGGTCTGAAGTCAACCCACTATGAGCCCATCAACGATGAAGGCAAGATAGCTAGCTTAGTTGATTTTCTACCGTGTCCGCCATGTCCTATCATCCTCTCTTGTTTTGTTCGAGTTTTTCTTTTTTACATAACACACCAAAAATGGAAAGCCACTGACATGAGGAAAACAGCAGGGCCTCTCTTTCGAACGCCCTGCCTCCAGTGCATGCTCGCTGCCTTTTATTGTGCTTTGGCTGTGTGTGCATGCCAAAAGCTCACGAGATGCCGTTGTCAAAGGTAGGAAGCTCAGGGCATGGAGGCGGAACAACTGAAGGGCCACCTTGCAATTTTGATACTGCCAGCAACCTTTCACACATTTCAGCGATGTGAGAATCGTGCTCCCTAGTTCTTCAAAACTAAGGTGCTTGATCACACCTTCCCGACATGGAGATAGGAGATAAGGCTCTTATATTGCTTGTAGTTTACAAAATTAGAATCACAGGTAGCGGACATGACCTCTTGCTGTTGTTCTACAATAATCTCCCGGACGACAGCCGTTTCAATAGGAAACGGTGCTCCCCCTATAGGCCGCGAAAGTTGCAAGCAACAACCGAAAGGGTAGCACATAAAACAGGGTACAATCACCGGTCAGGAGTGTTGGAAAGGGTTCTTCCGTCCACGCAGGGGCTGCTTCCCGGTGCTACTGACCCCGCAGCTCTGTGGGCCCCCCCCAAGATCCGGGGCCTGCCCCAAAGAGGTGCCAGGTCCCCCAACGGGGACAGCAAGAAGACCCCCCCGACCCTTTCCGCAATGACGGCAGCAAGCAGTGCCGCATCCGGCGGAAGGGCGCTCCGACGGGGGGCACAGCCTGGCACCCCCGTCTCCCTTCTTCTGCTCTAGGCAGCCACGTCGTCAAAAGCGTCAAAGTACCGCCCGGAGAAATGCCTTCGGCCCCAGCAGCCCAAAAGTGTTTGCACAGACACAACACTATGCAAAGCAAGGAACCCCCCTCGTCGCCCTCCCCCACCTCCCTCTAGCAGGTTCGAAAATAAAGGCTTGGTGTCCTCTTCCATGGTGTACCAGACTGCGCTCAATGTCGCCAGAGTTTCAACTCATGCACTAAATTGTTACAGGTACCTAGCTTCTCTGCATATAAGAGCCGTTTCTAAACGAAAACTTCCATTCAGGCTTTTTTTTTGTAAGCACCAATAATGTCTAGATCCCCAAGAATGATGTGCCGTGGTATACTGAGCATTACCTACATTCATATGTTCGCAATCCTTGCACAGAGTGCATTTTTGAGCCCTAACCTTTATAGGTGCTTTCTACTTGAATCGTGTAATTCTGTATGTGAAAACTGAGCTTCTGCATGCTCTACTTAGAAAGAGATGCACACACCGTGCCGGTAAAAAGATTCTATCATTTCCAATATGATACGGTGCCATTCTGCAAATGTTCCCCTGTACCTTAATGCTCTATTTCTGGATGTTTCCCTGAACTTTGAACAATCTCTACCCTTTCTTGGGAATTAGTAGGTGTAGCATTGCAAAGACATAAGGGAAAAGCTATGAAAAGAGCTTTGAAAGTTGGTTAACATAAGAATAAACTCTTTTTGGGTTAAGCGTTTGCCCTTCTGCAGCATCGCTAGAAATTGGTAAGAAAGAAGGTGAAGGGTCAAAAATTTCACAAGACAAAAGTCTAATAACAGAGAAAGACTCGTCTTCTTTTCCACCTCTTGTCGTGCAAAATATCATGATCCTTAACTCGATTTAAACTAGATCTAGCCGAGACCATACCCCTCATTCAATGAAGGTGGGGTTCTCAAAGCTGATGTAGAACCAGTGTCATGAATGATGTATCAACATGCTTGATTGAATGGTCACAAGGGTGAGTGCCCATCTTATCAGCAGGCCATGATCAAATGGCAAAATATAATTTATAGGTGGACGGAAGCACCCAACAAACAAGGATGAAGAAGAAAAAAGACGTGGCACACTCACAATTGAAGGTTTGTTAAAAAAAAAACATACAATTAATACCGCCTATTTGGCTGCTTGCATAAAAAGAAAAACTCTCTATCTGTCAGGTGTAGTACTTCTTCGTCCCTGTTTGTTCCACGCTTCCATCCAACGATGTACCAATTAGCCTATCTTTTAATCTTAATATCATCAAAGTGAAAAAAAAAAATCTTCAAATTAGCTAAATGTGCTAGGGAGGCTACTGCTGGTTTGTATCTAAAAATCACCCACACACATACACCCAAGTTGTTACCGAAGTACCAAAACAGTTCTTACTTGATTTCAAGGTGATCTGCCAAAGCTACCCAAAGCATTCCAGGAGAAAACATGTAACGCACTGCACCTCAGAGTCTTGTGCCATTGCCCATCAACGTCAGCAGCACTGAAACTCGGATAAGGTTTCTAACCCAAGTTTTATTGTGCCGTTCCTGCGGTGTCACTTGGGTGGATTCAGGGATGATACCCGGTGGCTGAACTGCAAGTGCCTGCATCAGACAGAGTCCCTCTTGTGGCATCCTTTGCATAATGCGTTCAACACTAGTTGTGGCACTCGCCTACTGTTCTAGAATACAACCATTCCAAGAGCACTAGTCTGTATGTGCGTGCATCCTCAGTTCAAGAAACCTCTTCCACTTACTCAGACAGGTCAATACATCAAGAAAAAGGGGGGGCATGAGGTTTATGGACTTAACAGCAAGGCTGAATTCTCCACAATCATAATCTACCAATATAAATTGATATCAACAAGATCCAGATTACAACCCACAATTTCAGGATTTATAGGTACGGCAGTTAGAAAGTCAACCTTGCAACCTACAGCATAACTTTCATATTTTACAACAGTCGTTCTCAAATGGGATTTGCAGACCCTTTGGGGTCCGCGAAGGCATCCTAAGGGTCTGCGAAGCCCTGCCTCATCAGTCAAGCCTGTCAGTAAAATTTGCTTGTTTTCAGATTGAGAAGAAACGTTCCAGTTTTCGCGGTATATTAATGTGAAAAGTCTACTTCACACACTTCCACTTCACAAGCGGTCCACAAAACATCAACGGCTGAGAACCACTGATCTACAAGATCAAAGCTGATCACGATTATGCTCCACAGGAACGACGTCTGAAGATTGTAGGGACCCTTTTAGCCGCCCCACCCTCAGATCCCGTCGTTCCTGCCTTCCTCTCGCCCATTCTTCCCGCACCCTGTCAAGGCCAAACAGCTGGGCCCCATTTCCTGCTCACCCAAATCCCTGGACGAGTGAGCATCATCACATGATGCATCACCTACACTCGGGGATCGTGGGAGGACCGTGGTCAGGGCGTAAGGGGCATGTGGACAAGTCGAGGGCATACACGTGATCAGCGGGGGCGAGGGTATTAAAAGGGGAAGCGGGACACTGGCGGCGCTCTCGACGTGTGAACAGGACAGCGGCAGGACGGCGACAGACGGGGGACAACGGACAGCCATGACAGTGGCATGAGTGTTGGAGTAAACTGTTCTAGCAATGTGCATTGTTGGGCGACTTCTTGGGGAGCGAGCGAAGCACGTCCCAATCGGGCGTCGTTTAGGTGACGACCCACAAGATAAAGCCTGTGGCTTAATGGATTTAGATGCACAGGGCCAGCCTAAGACCTAAAGGCCGAGAAGAGGATTTACAGTAACAAGATTTGAGGGTAGTAGTATCTAGGTCCACAAGACCAAGACGAAGGGACAAGAATTGGAAGCATGTGAGTAGGAGACTACAAAGTATCTCCAAGTAGTAGGTAGTTATTATATGAGACCTTCTCATTATTTAGAAAGAATGCCTGTAAACATTCCCCAGTTGGAGGAAAAGCTTACATTATAAAGCACCGTTCCATGGTGATTGCAAAATTTGAGGTTTCACCGACATATTTTTTTAAGATACAAAGTTTTTAAGTGTCACAATGGTCTACATGACATTTAAACAGGCCTGGGCTGTTTACACACAGTCCCACTTCCTGAAATTGTGTCTTTTAGTAGGCACTAAGCAGGTTTCAAGTAGACTTCATTTGGCTCATAAAAACTGCAGCACAATATTTCGCTCTTATACATACAGTCAAACCTCGATGTAATGAACTTCTATGTAACGAAACCCCCAATGAGACAAGTATTTAACTTTCTCTAACCGCAAGTGTATGCATGCCATGTATTTTTGACCTGTATGTAACGAGTCCCGTTTGCCAAAATTTCTACACAACAAAATTTCATGGACAATTCATCACAAACTTTTAAACCCCAAAGGAGATTTTCGGAAGCACATGCGCTGAGACGGGCCCCCGATAAAGTGCAAAGGCTGAAACAGGCCAAATCTGGTGAGCGTGGTGTACAGAACGGCCACTAAAGAACACTAGAGCCACCGCCGTTTCGTCCGTCGGCCTTTCGTTTCGAGGCCTAACTAAATGCATGCATTTCTCGTTGTCCTGGGCAATGGAGCCTTGAAGGTGATGAAGCCACCCCTGGCCCAGAAAAAGGTGACGGACTACTTTGAACCGAAATAAAGGCATCCTCGGTGAGTTTTGTGCATCCGAGAAACATTTGTGGAAACTTTTTTTATTGTTAGCCCCGAACTTCTATGTAGCGAAATTTCAATGTAACGGAGTAAATTCCGAATTTTACCGACTTCGTTACATCGAGGTTTGACTGTATAGGGTGTCCCAAGTCACCAAGCTCTATCTAAAATGGACCATAAAAATCGATGCCTGCACATTGCAATCTAAACTTTTTGTCAAAGGTATATTTAACAGGTCGGTTTTTTCTTGTAAAATTACAAAGCATAGCTCCCCTTCTGTAATATGTAGGGCCAACAGACCTGCCAGGGTCAACGGCGGTCAGCGACACAGACGACAGAGTCGAGCTGCGTTCATATTTATAGATGGTGTCGGGAGCAGCATCCGAAGGTGCAGCTGACCAGCGAAAGAAAGCAGATGACACGCAGACGAAATCCGCTGGCAGCAAAAGCGTCATTGCTATGCAGACACATTTTTTTTTTACTTATAAGTTTTGCTTTTATTGTCCGCATTTATTTTTCAACCAAAGGTACATAGCAAAAAAATTATGTTCATTTTAATAAACCACAAAGGTTGCAAACCGTCTCGATAAGGAGGTAGCACCATCTATCAATACGAGCGCCAAGCGCACCCCGCCACTCGACTTGGTCTGCATTGCCACCCACCGTTGATCCTGGCAAGTTTCTTGGCCTTATTTTTCACAGAAAGGGAGCAACGCTTTGTAATTTTACAAGAAAAAACCGACCTGTGAAATGCACCTCTGACGAAAAGTTTAGATTGCTACGTGCAGGCATCGATTTTTTACGGTCCATTGTAGATCGAGCCTGGTGACTTGGGACACCCTATATACTAGACACCCAAACTATAATCATGTAAAAAAATAGTAAAAAGATAAATAAAAAGCCTTTGTAATGAGCAGAAAAGCCAAACCAATCTCTTGTGGACATTCACAGAACATTCAACAACATGCATAGAAAACAGAGCACGCAGATATTTAATCTATGCCTTTCGAACCAGACGAACACCAGGCATAAAGTAATCTTTGCAGTTCTTGAAAAAGATTAGCGAATAATTTATGCTTACGATATTTCGCAGATATCCATAAAATTAAGACAAAGTCAATAACTCCTGCTGCAAGGAATAAGATTAGAAACCCACACAAGCCTGAAAAGACTCGTATCCTACGCCACACGCCCCCACAGCCAAGAACTTGCAACGAGAGCGGTGTCAATCCTAAAAAGTTTCTCAAGGTAGTACAGCAGAACTGCTGAGCCTCAAAACACAGGTGTCCTTTACCTTTTCCTCATGGCCAGCATGGTGTTGATTTCCCAGATGATGTTGCGCAAGGCATCCAGCACTTCCTTGAGCTGCCTGTTCTTGATCACCACTTGCTGCATGCCGCATGGGAAAAAACAAAAGAAAGAAGCATTTAGAAATGCTAAAGGCACTCAACAGACTCTCCGAGAGGTTAATATTGGAGGGACTATAGGCCATAGACAGGATGATAATGACAAGGAATCTCTTTCGAATGTCCAACATCTGGCAAGCGCTCGCTGCACTCTGCCGTGCTTTGCTCATGTATGCACGCTCGAGGCTCAAGACACCAAGGCGTTATCGATGGTATGAAGCTCGTGCTGGTGGCGGGACTACCGAAACTTCTTCCTGCCGGTCTCATCCTGTTGGTGTCTATGGCTATAGCTGTAAATAAGAGAAGTTGATGTTCCGATGTGGAAGGGAGGGGCAAAGCTACTTGACATGTGCGAGCTTTCTGCCATGCAAGTTCCAAACCGCGTAAAAAGTGACATGGGCAAACACACATCACACACACTACAGCCACATTGTTTCTTTATGCGATTCCCCAGCGCTGTTTAAGGAGAGGAGCTCTGCTTTCAAGGGTAAATAAGAGACGAAAAATTGGTGTCTTCATTTGGAATCACGGGGACGAGGTGCACAAATTTATTCGCTTTGCTGGAAACACGACGGGCTTTTCTTATTTTTACCAACTTTTCGTATCTTCACTTTCTAGGGACTCGATTTGCTGGCCAATTTTTGCCAGAATTTTCGAACCAACGCCCTTATACAGAATTACACGTAAAATCTAGCAGAAAGTGCTGAAACCATCTCAAAAGCTTCTGCTGACAATCGAAGAAAAAGAGAGACAACAAAGAAACAACATATCTGTCTCTCTGAGCACAGCTAACTCAGGGCTGTGCACACCACTACGCTCGTCTCCCTTTACTTCCACCTCCCTGCATGGCATCAGTGATATGCTAGGTTCACTGACCGTAATCAATTCCTTGAACAAGGGATGCCCATTTTGGTCTACAGGGTGGTTTGTATTGCCCGAGGATACCCCTCCCCCACCACAACTGTGGATGAGATTATAAAATTTGCCTATGTGCCTTATGTCTTCCTCATGCAACTGGCTCAGATAAAAGTGTTCCAGAACACTGCTGGTATTCCACGGCTCTAGACATGGCTGGAGGCATACAGTTGACATGAACTCACCTCCGTAAGCCTCGCCCTTTCTTCTTGGAGGCTGCGGGTGACCTCTGATGGCTTTTTCTCTTCGCTGGTCTTGGCCTCGTCTTTCATTGGAACGAGGCTTTGAAGAGTCACGTCGGGCTGCGCACGAGAGAGCGGACACACTCGAGTGCTGCTGAATAACAGGAGGGCATCCTTTCCCCAACACCTTTCTCATCAAAGTACATCTTTGGCCATATTGAACAGTGTTTCATTGGTAATTACACCGATGACCGTGGACGTTGTTAGGGGCCTCAAGAGTATGATGGCAACCACCAAAACTCTCGAGCGGAGTTAGGAATATTTCAAACTTGGAATGTAACAGGGTCCCTTTTGGCTTGATCCATTCGTCACTGTCATTTGTACGCTCAGTAATCAGTCTACAGAGACACCTCTAAACCAGGAAACTTCAAGAACACGCACGGTCCACCCGGCTTGGGGCAGTGTTCAAGTTAGAGATGTGTTCATCACAGGACATGTGCTAAGTCGCTGCTGATATCTATGTTAAGAGAGTGACTAATTTCGGAAGCTTTACTGCACATCCTCGTTTCTGCCTAGGATGCAATAAAGAAAAACGAGATATGAGAGACTGATAACTTCCAATACCTGACCAGCTAAAGACACCCAAGAGTGTCTGACAAGTTAACTGCAAGCCTCAAAAGACATCCGACAGGTAGCTGGCAACAACATGCACGGTTAGAGTTAAATAGTATCGCAGATAGTCGAAGAACACTACAAAGAAAACACAAATACCAATATCACGAAGTCTGAGATGTTAAAATCAGGAGCTGATATCTTCCACATAAGATGGGAGACTCTGAATTCACCTAATGAGAAAAAATCCTGTTAACAATGATGCATGCTAAAAGATAACCTGGGCCCTCACTTCGAAAGGAAGTACGGATCAAGAACATCCGGACAGAACACCTCGAAAGGGAGTCGAGATCCTCACCTCTATGGGCATGTAATACACAGGCTCACTTCAAAGCAGAGTATGGATTAAGAACGTCTGGACGAGACGTCTTGCGGGGGAGCCAAGCCCTCACCTCGATGGGTGTGTATTGGCTCCCTGCACTGGGGCCGCAGTCGCTGCAGATATTGTAGACGCGGTGCAGCCTCTTGAAAAGCATGCCCACCGTACGGAGCGTGTCCTGCAGCTTGAGCCGCCGTTCCTCTTGGCCGGCCATGCTGGACGCCACGCCCGTCGGGGGCTGCCAAGAAAACAATTCAATTCAATGCAATTTATTTCACTTCCAGAGTATGCAATGGGGGTGTGGGAAGAGGGTGAAAAAAGCTGCACCACTTGACAAACCCTCTGCTTTCTACAGGGTGTTTTCGAGTGCTATTCTGGCAAAAAATGTTTTTTTATAAATAAACCATTTAAACTTCTTAGAAAGATGCCTTCAGGTGGAATTTATCATACTCCAATCTAACAAATATGGTACTAAAAAAACAATCTTTTCTTTTATGCAAAGGAAGGAAAACGATAAGAACCATCTGATTGACGTTCCTACTCATAGAGGATAAATAACACACAAGCTCGGAGCTGCTGGATCCATTTTCGGGTATTCATCGCAAAGAAGCTTTCATGTTATTATTCAGTTTTTATTTTATTTTAATAATACTACCGGTTCCTTTCAGAACCTTAGTAGAGTGGTTACATAGGTTTGAAGATCATACGTTACTTGGTGGAGCAGCTAAAGAATAATCAGTAAGGGGGAGCAACTCAGGGCAAATTACAGAATCAACATAAATGTGCTACACAGATGAATGCACATATCCGAACCATAATACAATGTAACACATCATATAATGCCGTGACATCTGTGGGTAGCAGCGTCAACCAGGTGGCTTTTACCACCTTTCTCCCAGCGCGCAGAAAAAAAAAAAGGATTTTTTTTCCGGCTTAAATTTTTTTTATTAAAGGGACACTGACAGGGTATTTCTGCTCACCGAGGTTTTTAGTTGTACGTGACATATGAGAGCTCAACTACCCAGGACAGAATTTGCGGCTCGAAATTCGGTTTCTTTCCGCCCGAAAACCGCCGATCAAGAACTGGCCGGTTCGAGTCTCGCTCACTCTCCTTTCCACGGTCATGGGCCGTTTTCCAAGGTATCGATGCGACCACCAAATTTAATCAAAGTCGTGGGTCACTGAAGGCACACACTCCATATTAAAAATAGAAAAAAAATATGAAACCCATTTTTCGTGGCTTCTAAAAAGCTGCAAATACGTTGATTGAAAAAAAAAGTTCCACAGACAACCGGAAGCATTCTGTGCGTTCGTCGTTTCGCGTATCGTGGGACTCGCGGGGACGGCGATGGCAGCGGACAACGGGCGTGGGACCTCTATTTCAGAACTGTCGTTCGCGGTACCGGCGAATTCTGTCTACCTTTAAAGGAGAAATTTGGGACTGATCAAAATAATTGGTATTTATCCCGTACGACACGCCCGACCACCAAGCCGATTTGCACGAAGACCTCGCCGAGCCGTCGCTCCCTTCTCGTGGCTGAAGACATCGCTCGCGCAAACGTCAAGCACGACGTGTGTACTTTGAGTTGAATATGCATGCGTACGATTTCTTTACTAGGTGCGAATGTCGCCAATGCGTGGTGCTTCCCGACTTCGACCCGGGAGTGCTTTTGCTAGAGGAAAATCGGCAGCAAACTTTCCAACTTACAGTTTACCGGCTGAATTATTACTAGGGAAAGAGATCCACCAGTTAAGAGATGCCCCAGTAGCTCAGTGGGAAGACGTCCACTTCACACGCGGTACGACCGGGTTTAATCTCCCGTGAAACCTTTTTTTTTTTTTTTTTTTATTTTTTGATGTTTACTTTTTTTTTTTTTTTTCATTTTCTAATGCTTACATATCTTTTTTTTTTTTTTTACAATTATTACTGAAGAAACAAACAAAAAAATAACAATCAAATGTTGTGGACGACACTTCACTGAATTATATTGTATGGGATTTCCTTTTTGACCCCTGCGAACTCAATGTAATCACTTTCCACAAAATGCAAGGAGCATATGAATCAGGTAGCGTCCGCTTTCCGAGGTGCCCATATATGTTCTACAGGAATTGCAGCCAGCCATTGGTCCCAATCCCGTTGATCTTTCGGAAACTCTGTCGCACAATGCCCCTTTTTTTCGGACGCAGGACATGTGAGCCAGCTCTTCACGCAACATCCTGGGTGTATTCTCTTCGTAGCCGATCATGGAAATTCGCCACAGGCACCCTCTACTCATCTCCAACTCCTCAATGTACAAAACAACTCATCTTGGAGTACAGAACAACGAGCAGAACAAACATAACTGCAAAAGAATCGCACAGCGAACAGTTCCCGCACGCCGCATCGCACGTCGCATGTCGTGTCGTCTGCTACGGAGAGGAGGAAAAAAAAAAAAAACGCACGGTTGGGTGTAGTTACGTGACTTCCGCCACTCACTCTCTTCTCTCCACTTCTCCGACCTCCGTCGGGTTTCGGTTTCGAGCAGTTGCGTCTTTTGACTTTAATAAAAAAATATGCTACTCTGTTGCAAAATATTAATTGGGTAGTCCTCCGACACCATAATGAAGCGCCTGGCGAAAAATTAAAGAAAAATTTTGGGGGTGCCAGTGTCCCTTTAATACTTACACAGGGTGTCTAGCAAATTATTCTTCTGTAATTCCCTAACTTTTCAAGGTTTTCCCTAAAAAGTTTGGGTGACATTCCCTGACCACTCTAAAGGCAATTAAATATATCAGACCATTACAGCACAAGGCACTGAGCATTGAGCACAATGAGGATTATTTTGCACGGGCCTAATCTAACTTGCATATACCGAAATATTTGGGTTCGTCCAGTCCGGGTAAAATGAGCACTTTCTTGCTGCTGACACTGTCAGTGAAGAGGCCACTTCCGGAAACACGATGAAAACATGACGCTCAACCATACACGTCAATAACCAAATGGCAACATGGCCGCCAGATGCACTTTCGGATACTTTCGGCTTAAGGCTCGGATTAAATTGGAGTTTGCGGCTTTCCCATTTGTTACCAAATCTAGAAGCTCTAACTGGATCTAGTTTAGTGTTGCACTCTCAATCCAATATAATCCAACCCATGGCTTCGACTGGATTTGTCGGTTCTCTTTGCATCAAGTAGCACACTGCACATCGGGGGAGCAGAGCCCGCGCTTCACTCTAAGCAGAATTTATTGCCTATATTTCTGCCTTCAAGTCCTCAAGTCTCTGCTCAAGGCACTCGATGGCCTTTCCGGCTCATTTTCCCTGACTGGGCTCGCTTTTTGACAATTTCCCCGATTTTTCCCGGTAATTAAAATTTCCCTGACGATTCCCGGTTTTCCAAGTCGCTAGACACCCTGCTACACTTACGAAATTTGAGTGTAATAAATGCACCACATAAAACACTCTTGTGAGAAGTTTCATCACACTCAGCTCATTGATTTATTTATACAAAGTTTTCACGTCCCAATTGCGCTCGGAAACGCCCTTACGTCTGCCAAATGGGCAGACGGGAAAGTAATAAAAACATTCCAACAGAAAAAAAGAGGTCACAAACAAGAATACTTCTACACGTTGAGAGAAAAAAAGATGGTACAACACCCTTTCGCAAACTTAAGAAGCCTCAACAACCCGTGTCCATACTAGTAGTATGCCCAGGAGCCCAGGAGTCACTGCACTGGCTAAGCTTCTGTAACAACGAAACTGTTCGCCATTCACTCTGCAGGCCGAAATACTGGCCCGCAGCCTTAGGTGCTGTTCACACAAAAAAAAGTCATTTGGTGGGGTTCGCGTGCTGAACCTACGAAGGGTGACAGCGCACCCCAGCAGAGGACCGAGTAATGTAGACATTGGGCGAGTTGGTTCAACATTTAAAAGTAAAAACAGCGCAACACAGACAGACTAAAAGAAGACAGACCAACACCAGCACTGGTCTCTGTCTATTTTTTTTTCATTCTGTCCGTGTCGTTGTGCTGTTGGCACTTTTAATGGAAGACCGAGGTTTAACCTCGACCATGTTATAATCTTTGACGTAAAATCGAAGTCTCAGTTACGCGACGCCTTTCGTCAAATTGCGAGCGCCTCGGCCAGAAATGGTGCCCACTGCTCGAAGCGCCATAGGCCAGCACTGGGCGCTGGGCGGCACTAGCTAGAGGCCGCCGAAACAATAAAGAGTGTCACGCCACAAGCGGAGGGTAACTGTGTTGCAGGCCGAGTCGGCTGACGCGCCTTCATAACCGTGCTAATCGAGCTATAAACGCTGTCATCCGTGCAAGAAATTGTGTAAGTGCACCACGTGCCATAAAAGGCGGAAAATAACCTCAAAATGGATCGACAAGTTTTCCAATAATGACCATGGTATTTTAGACCTTGTAGACACTACTTTTCAAAGCAAAAAAAAAACATTCTGTTGACGGAGGTTACTACTGCTTCTGAAATTTCGAGCAACCTAAAGTTTCCAGTCAAGCATCTTTTAAAATTTTAAGCGAGGTTTTCTCTGGGTTCACATTTCCCGCACCTTCCGTGCTTTCACTTCGCGTCCCCCCTCCCCGAGGGCAGGGTGCCGCGGCACTTAGTCTTCCCGACCACGGCGCCCGGAACGTGTCTTCGACCGGCGCGTTTGGCATCCCATTCCACCCAAGCGTCACAAGTGGTTCCAAAGTGGCAACAAATAACATCGCAAAAACCATAGTGTCATGCTGTCAGATGTCACGACTGGTCGAAGAAGCTCCTGCAAAAGGCACGAGCAAACGCGATTGTCGTCATCGTCGCGGTGTCCCAACTCCTTGCTGCGAAAGCTTTCGGGGGCTGCCAAGCCGAAGAGCGATTTGCGGCAGAACAGGGGTCCGCCACATCCACCACCACTGCCGTAACGCCGCCAGAATTGCAGCCGGCGACCACACAACGCTTCTACGACATCACCAGGTGGAAATCGATGGACCACACCAGTCGGAGCCACGTTGCGGGTGCCATTAGAGCCGTATATATAGAGAGCTTGATAATTAATTGGTAAGAATAGGGCGAAAATAAGGGCACGTCATTGGCCAAACTTGTTTCAATGACCTTGGCGCGATGATTGACAGCTCTTGCGACCAACCACTAGCCCCAAATAATCCCCTAGCGGATGCAATGAGCCTAACAAAGACACTCCAATCACAATTTCTAGGTAAGGATGTATTCGAGTGTTTCGTTTCAGCACGCTAGAGTTGAAATTTGCGACTCTTCGTAACTGAAAAGGCAATGCACGTGATGTCACGCCGACACACAGAATGCACTCAATCTTCCTCTTGATTGCCCTCGCTGCCGCAGCCACTGCCGCGACGAAGTGGACGACAAAAATTGGGGGTTCGGCTCCGTGAGGGTTTTGACCTAAACCTTGAAGCGAAACTGTGAATGTGGGGTGCGCACCCCACATTCACAGTTTCGCCTCATATTTCTGGAAATTTTTCTCGCCAATGTCACCTTTCTGGGTTAAGTAAACACACTCATCACGTTGAAACTCTCCTTTTCTACTAATCTCTTACAATTATACATTCATGTACTTTCAGCCTCAACCAGAAACAAAAAATGCCTGCGCCGCGCCCCAGCTTATCGTTACTTTGCAAGTTCATCACGGGGGGAATATGCGGCGCTGGCGGCGGCGACGCCTTTCGCCGCTCCCCCCCCCCCCCCAGCTCCCCCTATTGACCATACTTTCTCAATATACAGCTCTGGGTGCCGTACCCCGACGACAGCTGCCCTCACCTGCAATGCCTTGAGGTTCTGGAAGAGTTCGATGGCCTTGGCCACCACCTCCTGCACGGTCTCCTGCCCCACGCGGCACATCATCACCGTGTTCAGGTCCTTGTGCTGCAGGGCCTGCACAGGCTCCCCGGCGTCGGGAGCCCCCGCAAAGCCGGGGCCCCCCTGCTGCTGCGGGGACAGCAGGGGGGGCCCCATCCCGGTCCCCATGGGGCCGCCCAGCACCTGCTGCTGGTAGGGCGACGCCATCGACGCCTCGCCAAGGTGCCCTGTGGCATTTTTTGAGGATAGATTTTGGGGAAGGAAATTCCGAGGTACGTACTTGGTGATTTTTGAGGCTTATAGTCAAGTGCAGATCTTATGAAAGTGTGGACAAGCTTCACGCTTGCTTTTAATCTTTCGTAGCGTTGCCCCGATTACTTCTATCATGCCAACTCCCGGCACTTGTTGCTGGTAAGGTGATGTCATGGATGCTTCACCGAAGAGCCCTGTTGCATTTTTTGAGGATAGATTTTTGGGAAGGAAATTCCGAGGTAGGCACTTGGTGATTTTTGAGGCTTATAGTCAAGTGCAAATCTTACGAAAGTGTGGAAGGGCTTCACGCTTGCTTTTAATCTTTCGTAGCGTTGCCCCGATTACTTCTATCACACCACCTCCCAGCACTTGTTGCTGGTAAGGTGATGTCATGGATGCTTCACCAAAAAGCCCTGTTGCATTTTACGGAACAATGTTTACAATACTTCCCTAAATTTCTTTTTCTTCTTTAAGCCTCCGGCTGGTAACCAAAAAGAATATATATATATATATATATATATATATATATATATATATATATATATATATCTTTTTGGTAAGAATGACTGAAACATTCTCATTGTGAAAAAAATTGTACACAAGACTAACCAGCCTAAATTCTGATATTTTCTTAATGCCCACTTTAAGTGTTTTCATTAATCAAAATGTTCTATTGATAATACTTAGTTATTTATTGTGTGTCTGTAATTTATCCAACTGTTATTCATCATGCCTCACTGTCAAAGTTTGTGTATCAGATCCTCCTTTAGTGTAATTCACTTCACTAGATATGGCCTTGAGGCCTGATAAACTGGACGCTAACTCTTCAGTGCAGTTTCCTCGGTAACCAGACAAAAGCTCACTGGACAGAAGCTCACCAAACAAATGCTCACCCATTTTTTTATGCGGACAAAAACTCACCTCTCTCTTTTGGTTACCCAAATGAAAGCTCACCAGGAGAAGCACAGGCTGGGCTACGGTGCAACTGATATGAATAATGCGCTGTTTTCGGAGAAACTGCTCATTCCTAAACTTGTTGACAAGATAAGCCACAATAGGCACTGAGGCAACATTTTGGGACAAAAATCTAGGTCACCGCAACTAAGACCTGATGGCTTTTTTGTTTCGACTTAGTTGCCACACCCAAGCAAGTTCAAACCGAAAAGCCCTACTGCACTGCCCTTTGTGATAAGCCACAATTGGCACTGAAGCAACATTTTGGGACAAAAGTCTAGGTCACCGCAACTTGGGTCCAATAGCTTTTTTGTTCTAAATTAGTTGCCATGCCCAAGCAAGTTCAAACTGAAAGTCCCCAGTGTCCTGCCCTTTCCGATATGTTAGAATAGGCACCGAGCAAATGTTTTGGGACAAAAATCTAAGTCACTGCAACAAGGCTCTGACAGCTTTTTTGTTTTGACTTAGTTGCCACACCCAAGCAAGTTCAAACCGAAAAGCCCTACTGCACTGCCCTTTGTGATAAGCCACAATTGGCACTGAAGCAACATTTTGGGACAAAAGTCTAGGTCACCGCAAATAGGGTCCAATAGCTTTTTTGTTTTAAATTAGTTGCCATGCCCAAGCAAGTTCAAACTGAAAGTCCCCAGTGTCCTGCCCTTTCCGATATGTTAGAATAGGCACCGAGCAAATGTTTTGGGACAAAAATCTAAGTCACCGCAACAAGGCTCTGACAGCTTTTTTGTTTCGACTTAGTTGCCACACCCAAGCAAGTTCAAACCGAAAAGCCCTACTGCACTGCCCTTTGTGATAAGCCACAATGGGCACTGAAGCAACATTTTGGGACAAAAGTCTAAGTCACTGCAGCTATGTTCTGAGGGATTTTTTTATTTCGACTTAGTTGCCACGCCTAAGCAAGTTCAGACCGAAAAGCCCAAGTGCCCTTTGGCAGCCTGTGCCTATGCCATTCAGTGAATTTGTCACCAAGCTGCAGTTTCTGGACTAAATTCCTCGAACTTGGTAACTTCGAGGTATTGAGCTTATGCCTTGGGGCACTATACAGTAGGCTCGCAATAATTCACGCTCAAATATTTTAAACAGATTTGAAAATTTTGGTTGTCCCGCTATGTCTTTAATGTATTTATAAGCCACTTAATTCAAACGGCGTTTTCGCTTAATTCACACTTTTTTGTTCTCGTGGCCCCGTTGAGTGCACTTCTCTCCGAGCACCGGTGCACAGCAGAGAAGCAATACCCGCGGAGCTTGCTTTTGCAAGTGTTGCTTCTCCGCAGTGGGTCCATATCACAAGAGCGAATGACATTTTAGCGAACGGCGAACATTTGAGCGAATGGTCGTTTTAGCGAATAACGGGGGGCGCGCGTTAACCCATCCGTCGCGCTGCGCTTTACGCCGCTTCGCGGCGACAGTCTGCGGCAACTCATTACAAAAATATGAACTCATTTGGCCCACCCGAAAACGCCGCTTCGCGGCGTCCGACTATTCGCTAAAGGGTCGTTCGATGAAACGTGGGCGTTCGCTAAAACGTCATTCGATCAAGTGAGTGCCTCCCCTCCGCAGTATACCAGTGCTCAGAAAGAAGCGCACTCAACGGGGCTCAAGCGGGCACACATTAGCGGAAAACGGTGTTCAGATTATGTGCTTCAAGACAACATCGAGGATGAGGAACAGCTCACTGGCCATGCTTTCTGGCCTTGAAGTACATAATGTGAACGCCGAGCTGGCGGAATATGCTAGTCTTGACGATGATCTGTGTGTTTGTCGTCATGACTCATTAGAGGACATAGTACAGGAAGTAGCACAGTGTAGCAGTGAGAGTGAGGATGATGAAGAAAGGGATGACCCACTACCAACTGTCACAGCCGCAAAGGCCTTTGAGCACATCGCTCAGCTCTGGAAGTTTCTGTCTGCAAAGGAAGAGTCCCATAAACAGCTACTTGCATTGGCTGGTATTGAAAATTTGGTTTCGAGATCTCATGTCACTAAACAGCCCACAATCGCAACTTTTTCGCCGCATGAATAAACTTAATGTCACAGTTCTTTCACCAATGTGTTATGCCTGTACTTGCTTATAATTAGGCCTATGTAGAAGAAACTGGCAAAAATCTGCTTTGTATGTGTAGCTATCCATGTAACAAATCATAATGTTGAATGGTATCATCTTTATATGAATTTCTGATAATTAAAACTTCTGATAATTCCAACTAAGATCTGTGACTTCCAGGACTTTGATTTAGTAAGAGTCTACCGTATAATGCAGTTATGCGGCACTTTTGGTTACACTTTTCTACGATGAAGGCAACTCTGTCCAACAATGGGAAGAAAAAGGTTTTGCTTAATAGCTGCGAGTATGTGCAGATCTAGAAAAATGACTGGACCTGATGGCAGTATCGATATCAAAGGACTTTGGGGTGCAATGGAGCTATTACTACAGACCTTGCTACGAGTACCTGCTAATTATTTTTATTGGCTGCGTTCTTTACAGGGGTTTGTGCCTACATGCTTGGAAAAGTATTTTGAATCTCAATGTTTTTTTACGGTATCAATATTGAGAAATGTTGATATGTCTTTTTATATTCTATTGCGTAGAATTGGGGGGGGGGGGGGGGGGGGGGGGACAGCATGTTTTCAATTGCTTCTTTCCTACAACTATAGGTTTCAATTTAAAGCTATTCAACATTTTTTATCTTTCTTCTGCAGATCACTCAGCACTGGTCCCCAGCCGAACACAATCATGTGACGGATGCAAGCACGACCGAAACAACGAAGCTGAGGAGAAAAGCCACCAAACTTCCCAACCCCCAAGTCAACTTCTAGCCAAAGCTCTCACTGCAACATCGGAACAAGTGCATCATAAACGTTGGAGACCCAGAAACTGTTCGTCGAGACTTGCATCGACAGCGAAGCAAGGTGCGCCCAACAAAGCCGTCAACAACAAGGGACCTGCATGTTCAGGACGCCTGGGCAAGAACCGAAGAAGCACAACAAAGCCATTTCTACTCTATGACAATGGGAAAGAGTGCCAAAACTGCATGCTGGTTTTTCCACCCCAAGCAACTTGCAGTGTTAAAGGAGCTGTGCAACAATTTTTGTACTGTGCACAAATACCGCTTAAAACGGATCACTAACATTAATGACCTATGAAACACACGTTCGTTTTTCACCCCACGCAATAGAAGTCCCAGAAAAAAATTTACGAAAAACGAGCAGCGTTCACCCCCTCAACTCGCAGCCAGAACAAGCGGCCACGTGATCTGGAGCCGATTATATGCCGCCAGTGTTGATCATAGCCACGCGCTGGGGTTGGCAAAGCGCAGGACACGCGCTGAGTTCCAGACATTGTTATGGCTCGGCTGTTGTCGTCGTTGCAGCGATTGGACACGGGCCACAACCCGAATGCTTCTCGAGCTAGCAATTGTCACGAGCCCAAATCAAGTGTCCACGCAATGCTCGGGTCCAATCTATGAACCGCATTCAAATATCGTCACTTGGGTGTACTGCGATCCCCGAGTTACGTCATCAAATTTTGCAAAGGAGAGATTGAATGAAAATGATTGCTTTTGTCCTTGAAATTACACCGCAACAAAGGAGTTTCTTGGCCAATGGCGTTGCGTGTGAGTATCCTTGAGTCCCAGGTGTGCCAGTAAGCTCGTGTAGAGAGAAAAACATTCCAATTGAATATCGTTGCACAGCTCCTTTAAGCAGTAGCCAGACCTGGTATATGGATGGCACGTTCTCAGTGTGCCCGCGGATATTCAAGCAGCTCTACGTCCTGCGCCGCAAAGTAGAAGACAGTTCATCGGCCTGCATGAACATACTTCTTTCAAGAAAGAGCTTGGCGACGTATGAGGAACTCTTTCAAGCAATTGTGAAAAGCTGTGAGGAGAGGGGGTACCATCCGGACCCTACTGTTATCATAAGCGACCATGAGATCGCTGCCATGAAAGCCATGAAGGACGTCTTCGGGGAACATGCTATTTCCAGAGGCTGTTTCTTTCACCTATGCCAAAGCACACACAGAAAAGCGAGCCGAATTTAGCAGCTATACTTTTCTGATATTGTAATCAAAATTCGCCTGAGAGACAGCTGTGTGGAATGGTATCAAGCTTCCGAGAAAAGATGCCGAAACGTTTAACTACATGAGCATAAAAGTGGCAAGTGGCTGGAACATATGGGTCTTGATTGCCTATGAATGTACTGTCGTGGCATTCAAGGAGTGCATGCTAAGATAATAGGATTGCTCTCGTTACGAGAGAGCTGTTCAGCGCATTGTTCCTAATAATTCTCAGGTTCGGGAGTTGGGTCTCTTGGACCAGTACATGACCGACGGCCAGTTCAGAAAGCTGCGCAGGATGCTAAATGGCCAGCCACTCCTCCCACCACTGTTTGTGCCCGAAGGACTCAGCTACATCAAGGGGAACGCTACCGGGGACATCGGGGACCCACTCGACTACTTCGATTCGACATACGTCAACGGTCCCTTCCGTAATACTTCTGCCGCGACAAGCGCCATGAGAGCTCTCCTAGCTGTGACCATGCGCCGACGACGACCGGAGTTTCACCCAGAACTGTGGAATGTGCACGATACTAGACTTCAAGATGAAGATCGGACCAACAATGCCTGCGAAGGATGGAACAATGGTTTCCAGAAGCTGGTTGGGCATGCTCACCCATGCGTCTGGAGGATGACTGAATGCCTGCGACAATACCAAGCACTTGTTGCCACAGCTTTGATCAAAGAACAGAGAGGTGAGCCGTCAGTGAAGAGCGTTCGCAAGTCAATGAAGCGTCTCCAGAATTGCTTAAAGAACATCTGCGAGCACTTCAAACTGCACAGGGATCTCCCAAGGCTGGTGGAGGCAGTAGGGAAATGTATCTGTTTTTAAGCCATAGATAAATCAACATGTTTTTAATCCTCAACAAACCATGAGCAAAATTATATTTCTGTTATCATTGCCTCTGAAGGTTGCATGGATGCATTGAAGCTGTTCGAGCTCAAGAGTCAAGGACCACGTGAAACTTTCCCTGGTGAGCTTTTGTCCGGGTTTGTGAAGACAGTGGTGAGCTTTTGTCCGGGTTCGTGAAGAGTGGTGAGCTTTTGTCCCGAGTTCATGAAAAAAAGTGGTGAGCTTTTGTCCCGAGTTCATGAAAAAAAGTGGTGAGCTATTGTCCTGGATTCCGTTTCCTCACCTTGTGTTAACTGAACAATCAACAACTCTGAGGTTGAACTGGCATAGCAACTGTAATGGCGCATTCACACTGGAAGCGAATCTGCGTTCGCGAAGCGATTGCGGATGCGGTTCGCAAGCGACCCCGTTCAGACACACCGAGAAGCGGTTGGCGGTTTCTCGGCGATCACGCGTGATCTTTTGAGACTTGCGTTTGGCAACCCTGTTTTACAATCCAAAATCCACTTTACTTCAAGATCCAAAGCCATACTTTTGCTATTTTGGCACTCGGAAGATTTTTCTCCGGGATGTTCGCATGCATCACGAGTTCAAGCAGCGAAAAAAGAAGCATGAACCCGCCAAACTCGCCTGGGATTCCCCTCGACTTCGCTCACAAGCAAAGCCCAGCTAGGCGCGCCTTGCTGACTGGGAACAGGATGCCCCTGACCTTTTCTTCAAAGTGGACTCTTCCCGCATGAATAGCTGACCTTGTTTTCCGAATAAAGGGCCAGTTTTCCCCCCTCGTTGTTTGCTCTTATCATTTTCAAAGTTGTGAGCGGTGGGGTGGACCGTGGTGCGGGGGCATGTGTTCGGTGTTAGCCGGTCGTGGCTTCGTTGGTGGTGGACTCTCTTTCGTCACTCGCTCGTCGATCGAGTCTACTGTTTGTTTGACATCAAGCTCAAATAAACGCCGTATGGATTACCTCTGCATTATCTGGTACACACAATTTATTTCTTAGGTATGTTCCCTTTATTTCTTTAATTAGGAATAAACGTTACGGGTCGAGCTAGCGCAGATAGCCTGCCCTCTCCGCGGTAGTGCGTTGGATATGCAATCAAGCTCACGACGTCTCTATCGGCCTTCGTGGTGGTCATGTACGGTGTCGAAATTTCTTTCAATAGTTTACGCGACTATCTTAGTAAGTAGAAAAGCTGACATTTCGGTCGATCAGGGGTGAGTTCCGACGTTCTACGGGCAGAGACTAACAAGGCAGTGAGCTTGGGCTGTGGCACCCGGAATAATAAACAAACTCTTACCTGAACCAAATCACCGGTGCAAATCTCGTTAAACTTACGAGCCAATTCTTTTCGCGAAGGATTCAAGGGATGGACGTGAACATCAAGTTTCTCCGTTGATTTGTTGAAAGCCAGCACTAGGACTACAGCACCTTGGACGCCTCACCAGCGACCGGTGCCATCTTGTTTCGAAAGTCACTGATGTCACGTCGGCGTCGCGTTCTGATTGGTTGCCGCTTTGCGGTTCGTGAAAGCGGTTGGGAGAAATTTATCCCGAAGCGGTTGGCAAAAACGCACTCCAACTGCTCAATCCTAGCCACTTTGCGGTTGAGAACGCGCGGATCCAGTTTGTGTTTGCGGATCCGCTTTTAGTGTGAACCCGCCATTAACGGGAACAAGCGATCGCCGGTATCTTTTTCTTGATTCTTTTCGGAATCCGAAAGCTGTTTTCTCAATTTCTAAAAACTCTTTCGAAGTAAAATGCGAAAAAGTGCCATGTCGTGTTTGTGAAACCAGAAAGTGAATGCTCTTCACTAAATACATATATATATATATATTTATTTTTTTTACGGAAGAGCTATTTATAAATTTTTTCCTGACATTTCTGAACCCAAAAGGCACAAACGTAAATATCCGCCACTCTGCCTATGTTCCTTTTAGTTCCATGATAGTGGATTGTTTGCTTCATGACACGTCTGGGCTGTCAGACGGTTGAAGGCACTTATATTGTCACGGGTGGTGATCAGGAGGAAACAGGAGGAAATAAACGTTTACTGGGGCAAACTTGTGCCCAAAACAAAAAGGAAACAGAAGATAACAGAACGTTGCGGGCGTCGAAGTCGGCGTAACAGCAGGATCGAGCGCTGGGGCGAGACTAACCCCGGCTCGCCACGCGGAGCACCTTTCGTACCGGCGTGGGTTTCTGGAACATTCGGCCTAGAACGTTCGGCGCGTAGAACATTCGTAGCTCAATAAGACGAGAAAGTTTTCGAATTTGCAAGAACGACAAGTAGAAAGAATAAATAACAGAACATTTGCTACCTGGAATCGAACTCAGATCTTCCGCGCGACAGCCAAGCGCGGTAACCGTTCGGCCAGGCACGCTCTCGCTCGGCGACGCGCGTGGCAATATGAATAATGAACGTCAAATATGAAACAGGTGAGTGTTGCATTACCTTTCAAGATGTCTCCGACTAATGAAAGGTTACAAATTCATCATAAAAGTTACGCGACAAACATAAGGACGAAAGTAACGCAGAAACGAAAATACTAATCCATCGCCATCTTAAAAACAGTGTTGTATACTTAAATCCATCTCTTACGGAATTAAGCCGAGCGAAGATGAAGAGCTGAGATTTGGTAATGTATTAAATACACGCTTTTATGCGCTCTTTTGCGTTGATATTTGGACTATAAAACTATTTTTTTAAATAAATAATCTAAGAATTGTAATAGTGATTGAATTTATTGTTTCGAGACTTACGCAAGTTTCAGTTTCGTTGAGGGGACGCGTGGAACATGTCTTGTCGCGTACGGAATGTCTGCAACGAATTGGCAGCGTCATGACCTAATTAAACATGAAAAAAAAAAAAAATCAATTGCGTAGATTTTAGTTTTATTTCTTGCGTCACCAAACATGGATGTGGATTAGTTCTGACGGGCGAGTCGAAATAAGGTACAGATTCTGCCAAAACACGTAATTCATCACTGGTTGTGCCTAGGATTTCGTGCTTTCGGAGTTTATTTTTCGTCGAATTTGGAGGGTGTTTATTTTTTCTGGGAATTCGGATTTTATAGGAGTTTACTTTTGTTTGATTCTAAAATCTCCGAAATTCTGAGATTTTAGAATGAACCTTTCGAAATTCGGAGCATTTCCTATGAGAAATAAATATATACGTCTAACCCCTGGTTAGCTCAGTTGGTAGAGCGCTCCACTTGTAATGGAGAGGTCCCGGGTTCGATACCCGGTCCAGTAGGTTTTTTTCGGTCGCTCACCAGTCACCTAGCTGTGTTTGGAGATTTATGTTTGTCCCTTGTCCCTCTTGTTCCCTTTCTCCAGTGATTATTTTCATCATTATTGTCCAGCTCGCTTGCCCCTTTGCATTTAATTGCACTATAATTATAACATTAAATTGCAAGCTTCACCCTTGTTGGTGTTAGACTGGTGGCAGCTGATAAAACCCGTTTGCTCTACTGACATCTAACCCCTGGTTAGCTCAGTTGGTAGAGCGCTCCACTTGTAATGGAGAGGTCCCGGGTTCGATACCCGGACCAGGCGGATTTTTTCGGTCGCTCACCAGTCACCTAGCTGTGTTTGGGGATTCATGTTTGTCCCTTGTCCCTCTTGTTCCCCTTCTCCAGGGATTATTTGCATCATTATTGTCCAGCTCGCTTGCCCCTTTGCATTTAATTGCACTACAAGTAAACGTATGCTAGATAAATAAAAATAAAACGAGCTTATATCAACTCATATTTCTTCAGCTGGGTTTGGTGATGGTGCCATTGCCACTGGCAATACTAATTTGTCCCACGGCAAAAGTTGCACAGATGCGTGGCTTAGATAAACGTCGATACCTTACCAATAAACTCCCGGAGGCAGTCGCTGGGAAGCACGTTTTCTTCCCATCCTATTCCATGCTACCCCGCGGCCGCGCGAGTTGGAGTGGTAAAGGATGCAATAGGGAAGTTTCAACCCCAAAGTACACTGACACCTCGTCCTGAAACTTGACGAGATAAGCGGTAAGAACGGTTTTGTCAATGATCCGAGATTAGAAAGAAAACTGTGGTGGCATTTTCCCGGGACCATTGATCCTGTGCGTTGTTCAAAATTAATTGTAGATTACCGTCTTCATCTATTTTTGTTTGTGTGTGTGTGTGTGTGTGGGGGGGGGGGGGGGGCATTGGCACATCAAAATTATTTTACCGGCGGGTGTTTTCGGGTGTCTTCGGATTTATCCGAAAACACAGGACCCTACTTGTGCCTTATCACGTCAAGCGCCAAGTTTAAGATGCATGCAGATCAGCACGCATGTATACGCACAACGTTAAATGAGAACAAAGAAACCGTGCCCTAATGCCCATCCTGTCTGGTCGAATAAAATTAGACATAAATAGGAAAAAAACCTCTGACATAACAATATACAAAAAAAAAAAAAAAATAGAACACATTAAGGCAGCGCGTGCTGTTTGATCAGCCGCAACTGCCGCCATTTTGCTCACCTCGCAGATCATGGGACATTTCTGCGAGAAACCAGCTTACTCAAACTTGGTCATCCTCAAACCTCGAGTAGATGTGATTAACGAAAAGAAAAACAACCGAAGTAAATGTTTAGTGACAATCATAAAAGTGCATCCTTGACCGCAAGACAAAGACAGGCATGAGAACCACAGTGCCGACCAAGCGGGTCTTTTTGATCGCTGTCGTCCTCCTCTTTGGTGTTCTCATTCCGAGTGCTCCTGCCAGACGAGTGCATCGATGCTTTCTGGCCAGAAAATTGCGGCAGGCCGGCTTTGATCGAACCAAGATTTTACAGTGTAAGTGTTTATCTGTAGATGTATCCCCGATATCATAACCGCACATACTTACCTGAACTTACACCTGTACAGATTTTATCCCTCACAATCGTTGAAAGTTTAGATGTACAAACATGTAATCCTAGCAAAAAAAATAAAAAATAAATAAAAAAAAGTTAGCACAGGCATGAATACGAACGGGACAAATTAACGTTTGTCTTTGCAATGATTGCATGACACGTATCCACAAGGAGGCTAAATGCAAAAGTGTAGCTTTGTTAACCCTCACATCAAATGAAAGTGGACATTCGTTTTTGTCTAGTGAATATTCGGGGTGCTATATTCAGTGAACAGCCTTTCTTCCTCTTCAGTTTTATGCATCGCAAAAATGGTGAGCAAGTTTAACATGACACTCTCCGTCAAGCGAGAGGGAGGCCAGCGAACGGTTGGCATATTCCAGGCAAGTCAGTATTCACTCTGCATTTGATACACAGTTAACACAGTTAACCTTGCATTAACCAAACTACAGGAACGTCACCCTCTAACTGCACTTTCAATGTTCCCCAGCTGACAAGCTACTTTTCCTGCTATGACAAGTATGTTCCAGGGAAACGAAACGGTCGCTGTCACGAACTATGCGACGGTAGGTTGGTTGGCTCATTTACTTTTCAATACAAAACTATATATTAAAGTTATATAAGTAGAGGCTGGAATTATTCGAGAGTGGACGGTAACAATAAGCATTCGCATATTAATTCACAGCCTTCCTGGATGAGTACCTTGAAGATGACATTCGTTGCGCATCCATGATACTGCGCCAATGGGGCTTCAAGTATTGGTATGCATTCAGACCACTGATCGTCTACACACATAATAATGCGGAAACTTTCTTTGCAGGACTGGTTGGGAGAGAAAGTGTCTTTATGCAAAAGTATCGCCACTTCTTGACGGCTGCGACTACGAAAACTGAGCACAACAAAGGAATCAAGCGATTGCTATGTATTCGTCGAAGCAATAGCACAATCAATAAAATAAATTGCAAGAAAGACAGACCGTAACATTTTACTTTTAATTTATTCAAACATAAAATCCTATACAGTATGTACAAAGGAATGAACTCGGTAGAGCTCAGATTGTCGAAGCATAGACGGTAAAATTGGCAGCCTGACTCAAAGTGGAATGCCAGTGAGCCATCGCATCAGGCACACAATGTTCTCTGTGCCGTAATAAATAAGCAAAACAAAAACACTATCGTCCAAGGAGACGCTCGCACATTCTTTCGTAACGTATTGCTGCGAACGCCGCTTGTTGGCAGAAAACATTCACAATACCGGCTCCTGCCCCCAAAGCACATCTTCAAAAAAACCTTCATCTCGGTCCTCAGTTGTACAATAAGTTAAATCGCCTCATCCCATCAATAAATAAGCTGAAAGCTTGTCATAAATATTAAAACACTCGGAATCATCCCTCCCCTAGGTAGGTGCGAGAGCATGCTGATGGAATGGCAGGTGGCTTGGTTAAAGTCGACTAAGGGCACGGGCCACTTTGGAGTTGTTCGGCCTGTTCAGAGCCTTGCAGATGAACTCTCCTGCACCAATCACCTTCTGCAGATCCACGCCCTTTGAGAAAGGAAGAGAAATGACACCATGTCAACGAAAGTTCTTGAGAGAGTTCTACGAGAAAACACTTATGCCTTCACCTGGAAGTAGCAAAGTGAAATTGGGTACCCACAGCGGCTAAATTAACAACTAAATAATGAATATCTTGCGCATATATGATAGAATTAAAAGCTGCGTTCAATCTTTTCCCTGCTGTGGGAAGCTTTCCAGAACGCTCGACCAACCTCGGGCACGGTATACCGTCCCAGAAAAAAGTCTGGAAGCTTCCACTTGCATACTTTATTATTTGGTTCCTTTAGAACAGCAATGAAAGTGCAACAATACTCATGCTAGAGATTCAAGTTGAGCTTGTTTTTGACCTCCAACTTAAAATTGTGTAGCAATGTCTCCAGACTTCATCAAAGGCCACGAATAATATACAGTACCAGCGGCCAAAGTAGCCACCAGGGTTTCTAAGCAAAGCATAACCGCAATGTGCGCAAAGCTGTGCTACATAGAAAAAAAATCCTGAAATGTCTGGAGGAAAATTAGCATTCCCGTGCGAATCCACGTTAATGTTGCAGCGACGACACCCTATCATACCCCAATGTCTCCTTATGTATAGTATTGCACTTCACGTGGAGGGACCATCACCAATGTCTGCTCGGAGAGTAACATGCCGATCTAAATCTATAAAACTACCTGGATAGACATGCATCACATGATTATACCACCATAGTCACGTGACACCGTCATGTGATGTCACAGTAACACGACGCAATGTCACCGTGTCATGCGACGATATTGACGACGACCTCTAACGGCCGTTGCCGTAAAAGTGTCCCACACCATTTGAGGCAGGCAGAGAGGGCACTCACAGTGGGTATCCCCATGCCATGGAGCATGTAGAGCACGTCCTCGGTGGCCACGTTTCCGGAGGCCCCCCTGGCGTACGGACACCCGCCGAGGCCGGCCACCGAGCTGTCCACGGTCGCTATGCCCATGGCCATGGCAGTCAGAATGTTGGCTAACGCCTGGCCGTAGGTGTCGTGGCAGTGAACTGCTAGTGCGCTGGCGGGAACCTGGAACGAGACGAGAGCGACGCTTTGTGAGCACTTCCCTGGCACAACGACGGCGCTTATTACTGTATAGAGCTTTCAAGCTTCTGACGCACCAAGATGAAATTAGAAATCAAGAGGCAGGGCTTGTTTCTAAAAAATACAATGGTTCCGTACTTACACGAGCCTCGCTCGAACCGAACCACGTGCTACTTTGGCAAACCTAAACAATGAATGCCTTTTGTCCCAGTAAAGGCTATCAATACAACAAAACCAAAAAAAAGAGATTGAATAATATTTTCGTTTTATGTTTTTGTGCAAGTGGCTTCATTATATTATAGTAGAGAGTCATGACCAACACACAAACTGCTCTAAGATGCCTCGTCTTAAAACTGTAGGTAAGCTTGCCAAAACTTCGAACAGCGTCCAACAAAGCTCACTGCTAGTAGATGAATCCTGAAGAATCTAACTATTAGCAATGATTTTTGAGGCTCGTATTCCTTTACAACTACACTCCATTTTGTCTACTCAGAAGTAAAAAAAAGAAATCGTTAGGCAAAAAATATTGGTGGCAAGCCTTCACCTACAAAGTAATATAATGCATAGAATTGTATAAATTGGTTTAGAAGACATTATAAACATGATGTCAACTCATGGTGTCATGGGACATCATGCAACGAGTGACCACCATATAATGTTCCATGGAGCATGCATGAAACAACAGAATGATACATTTTTGGTCATACTGACTTTCATTATAAAACATTCCCAACTTAAAAAAAAAGCAAGTTTAAAGAATCTTTGGTCGGAAACATGAGCAACAGGAGTCAAATCCTTCACAGCCTGAAAGAGACAGAGAGTGTCCACAAAGGGAAAGCCCACCTGTTGCAGAACCGCCTGCAGCATGGGCCTCATGGTGCCAGGGGTGCCGACCCCGATGGTGTCCCCCAGGGAGATCTCGTAGCATCCGGCCCTGTACAGCATGCCGGCCACCTTGGCCACCACCTCAGGGGCCACCGGGCCCTCGTAGGGACAGCCCACCACACAGGACACGTACCTGCGCATCCGAAAGGACACCCTCAAAGTTTAGCAGAGGAAACCTCAAGTGTAGCGCTCATAACTAACTAGAGCAACTGTGAACGTAGCTGAAGGCCTGTTCATAAGGATAACAGGTAACTGAGTAGGTAATGACCACTAGCAAGTATGGAGGACACTATACATTTTGCTTGTAAGTAACAAGAACTGCAGCATAGTTCAAGGCCTGCTTATGAGGAAAGGGATCCATATAAGGGCCATAAGTTAAGCTGCATGGATGTTTGCAGTCCCATAACTAAGCTAGCAGTGTGGCTGTAAAGGTAAGTAAAGATGCCTGCAAAAAGCCCTGCAAGGGCTTTTTGCAGGCATCTTTATTTACCTTTACAGCCACACTGATTTCAGGCCAAGGACACAGCTGATTTCATTGCTGCATTTACCTATCTGATCTGCTGAGTAAGAACCCCCGATAGTAAAACAGGGGCATGTATGCTGTGTGACACGGTTAGCATGAATGTGTGATACCGGCACCTTTTTGCGTTTTACTCTGACACAGCCCTGACGGGCATCAAATTTCACTCTGTTCGTGTCCTGAACGAACACTTTCAACAAAACCAGTCATTTTGATGACAAGCTTTAAATTCCAAGAGGAAGAAAAAAGAAAAAAAGTGGCGATTGCTTGTTTTTGACAACTGTGTCGCACACCGTACACATATGCCAAACCCTAAGTACACTACGCAGGTGTGTCTCGGCAAACGATTGCCGGCATTCAAATGAAAATGCAGCTCACCCTCTAACTTTGATCCCATTGTCCCTGGCTGCTTCGAGCACATCCGAGAACTTCTTAATGCTCTCCTCAATGCTGCAGTTGATGTTTTTCCTGAAAAGGTTGCATGTTCATTAGATTCTGTGATGGCAGATTATCTCTCAAGGATAAAACAATCTGATAATAATGGCAACTGCACAATCACAAAAAAAAAGGAGCTTACTGAGTGAATGTTTCTGATGCGGCACCAAAAACTGCTATCTCTTTGGCTCCTGCTGCGAGCTGGAAGAAAGAAAAAAAAAGGATAAATGGGAGGATCAGAATATACGGGAATGAAACAAGAAATTACTTTTACTACAAAGATACCTCACAGAGCAGTAAGAATATTAATGTATTCATTTATAGCTGCTGCGCGACATATAAACAATGCGCAAAACTTCCTTCTATTCTTGAGGTGGAAACGAGTATAGGTACTCATACTTAGTAAAACTACTGACATACTAATAACGAGTTGGGTAGGGGAAATTTATTTCACTACAGAGAGGTTTGACTGATAAAAAAAAAATTACCCATGATTATAAAAGACAAAATAAACAAAAAAGAAGAAAAACAAAAAAAAAGTGCAAAACATTAATTAAAGATAGTTTTAAAAATTGTAAAGAAGCTTACTGCATCTTTGAAACCTTTCATGTTTGGAACCAGGACAGGGTAACTGACGCCTTTCTGCATTTGAATGCCTGTCAACACTTCTGTGTGGTCTGCCATCTGAAAAACACAAAAAGACATAATGAGTTAGGAGTATGACAACATGACACAAGCTACACATATCCAATGTTCGGTTGTGCCTAGCAATAAACTTTTTGCTGCTCTTAGAAGTGTTTGAGTCAAAGATCCTCAGCGATGAGTTGCTTTCTTGGACGGCACTGAACTAAATAGAAAACCAAGAGTCTCAAGGGCAGAGGAGATAAGGCAGCGAGACTAACGCCAGACAATCTCCCAACCCCAACCGTGTCGACCGAGCCTAGCGCGATGTCACGCCGTTCCCTTATCGGACGATGGGCAACTCACATCCTTGACACACTAAATACGTTGTACGTCGGTATGGTGATTGGCACCTGTAAGTAATGACGTAGGTACTTTTGTAAACTAGAAAAGGGAAGGTTAAAAAACTCTAGTAACAACTGCAGTTCATTGTTGGGGCTGTCTTTAAAAATGAGCCTATAAACGGCATTGGTGTGCAAGTAACACATCTCTTTTTTGTTCCTCGGTTTCAAGCTTTCAAGATATCGGATGTCCACCAACCTGCCTCTATGTTCCCTGCTATTTCTACAAGGCCTATATTTTTATCACAAAATAGATAATTTAATCATTGACAGAGTATTGTTTAAAAAAAAATAACACATGCTGAATTTTTTTTTTTTTTTTGTGGACATAGAGATTTGGTTTTGTACTCTTAGGATGCGTGCTCCCATAGAGAGGTCTGAAATGTCACATGACAGAACTAAATGTCTATCAAGCAAAGCCGGGAATAATGCTGGTTTTCTCAGGTTTATAAAAGAAAGAACAGTCAAAAGTACATATTCCTCGTTCAAGTTTTGCTTTGTGGTTAGTAATGCACTATCCGAAATTTCGTACTACATTATTCTATGGCTGCACCAAAAAACTGTAAATGTAAAGATTACAATTTTTTTTTTTTCTTTCAAGAATTTAGCGAACTTTTACAGCAGGTGATATGAGAATCAACAAAAAACAAACACAGCTACAATTTCAGCAAAACATCACAGGAAATTAGAATAGCATTAACAAAAAAACAAGTCCGGCTTCGACTCTAGCAAAGCGTCACAGGAAATGGTGTGAGCATTAGAAAAAAAGAAATGCTCACCTGCGGAACCCATTTCGGAGAAACAAAGCTAGTAGCCTCAACAACAGGGAGTCCCGAGCCAGAGAGCCGATTGATGAGTTCAATCTTGGTTTGAGTTGGAACTATCTCCTGCAAGGGACGCATGCACACAACCTGTCAGTCACTCCATCAATCAACATAGCTAACGAGCAATTAAAGGGGCAAAAGGGACCAACTGAGTATAGTAGTAACACACAGACTGACCTTCTCGTTTTGTAGTCCATCTCGAGCTCCTACTTCCACCACTTTGACATAATCCGGAAAGCTGCCGATGTTCTGGAAAAGGGGGTTAACGTAATGGTTAGCGCATGTGTGAAATTAGATGCTAAGTTAACTAACTTAAAAAAAAAAAAAAATATATATGAATGCACTGGAGTTTGCTGAATTCAGCAAAGCCGCAACTAAATTACTTGCTCAAGAAAGTCGAGAAGGAATTCCACAACCCCGCGATCGTACACATACCCTGTGCTGCGTGAACGGCTGCGTGGTAGGTCCGAAGTTTTCGACAACCATTGTGGCTAAAAAGCGGTTATGATATTTTCACAAGCACGGACGCGTTGAGGGGTAAACGTAGAGGCAATCACTTCGAGCACAGCGCAGCACGACCGATCACAGGAAGACGCGACGACCTAATAGCATTTCGCCATTCCCGGGCTGCCCTCAAATATACACGCTTATTTTTATTTTCCTGGTTTCGCTTTCACTCGGATTAATGACGTCAACGTCACGCATTCGAGAACGGACCAATCCACGTTCCTTGCGCACGACACGTGATACTGACGCAGGTAGCGCCACTTTCCCCCACAAAATGGGCCCCCGGGGAAGGGGAAAATCGGCTGAGGCCCAACGATTTACATAATAAATCAAACACAAGCTCACATCGACGATGACGATGAACTTTTCGTCAGGGGAGAAACCCGAGAAAAGTTGGTTACCCACCTTGGCCGTAGTGTAGGTCCGGCACATGCGACGAGCGAGGCCGGCGCCTAGGTTCATGAACCCGCCGCATACCGTGAACATGGTCGTTAGTTGTAGCGTCTGAACTTTGCGTTTGTATGCCAATTAAGTATGTTTGTGTCGGTGGAATGCGCGTCCAGCCGGTAACGCTCGACCGACGATACACAGATCAACGGATACACTTTAACGACGACAAGCAGATGGCGAGCAAAAAATCGCCCGATACTTTCTTTGCCGAGGTTGCCAGATGGGACTGCAAAATTGGTCAGTTTCGACTACGTCCACATAGAGCTCGTAAGTGTGCTTAGAGGCAACGTCAGATGAGATAAACGAGCTTTGAAAGATACAGAATGCCGGTATACACGTTTGCAGCACAGGTTTTAGTGTATATTGCGTCGGTGCGTGCTAAGAAAGAGGGAGGGGGAAAGAAGGAAGAATGCAAATAAAAACGAAACTGAAAGTGCGCCTCCGTGTGCTAGTTTCATGCGAGCCAATGTTGATGCGATCGTATGGTCAATATGGTTAATTGCATTCTCGATACGTTTTTAATAGATTTCCGTGTATGTTGTTGCTTTTATCGTTGGAACAAATAACCGTGTTTGTGGTGAACTGCTTTACTGTAAATTACTGTTGTTTCTGTTTTTCCACATAGTTGCAACCAGAGGAATAACAAATAATCTAAAAAAAAAAAAAAATGAAATGAAAATTGAAAGATTTCAATAAATGGTTACATAATATGAAAAGGCGTTGATGGCACTTTCATTGTCGTAGTGCCACCTAAATATAAGACAGAGTCTAAAAAATAGAAGAACCTAAAATGAGTAAAATATATACGTTGTATGCTTTGTACTGAAACAATTATATTTATTTCATCCGAGTCGATCACACATAAAAATATATATTTGCTTAGTGCCTTCTGCGAAAACTTAGGTGTAGCAATTAACTCCCAGTGTCCTTAATTCATCTGGCTAAAGCGCCTAACAAAAAAAAAAAAGTATAAATAGGGAATATGGTTTAAAATCCCAGTCCTTACTAACAAGAAGACCAAAGCACAGAAGTTTTTCCTTGAGAGTTGACTGGACCTTGCAAAGTTCCAAGCACGTATCCTTAGAGTACATAACTAGATATTTATGCCCACTAAAGAAAATCTCATAATTTCTCAGCGTGAGCGATTCCCGCTGAACAATATTCCATCAACGAGAAACCATGATGCCAATATCCACAATAACAACGTCGTGCCAAATTATATTTGACAGTGGCGCACGTAGAAGGCAGATTTCGAGGGCACGTAGCGCGATATCGTAACGAACAACCAGACGCAGCCAGATGCTCGTAGATACTAGACGATTTTCAACTGTGGGCGCAAGGTTCATCTGATGAACGAAAGACAAGAAGCAGATTTTCTCAAGTACAGCGAGGGTACTTCGGTTCGTGGTCGAGAAACCACCGCACATCTTTCAGCTCGGACGCACCGAGTTTGGTGGTACCGAAGAGCACCAACCGCGCCATCTGACCGAAAGTCCGGTTGTAGTGTGCCACAGTATGCACGTCTAGTTTGCCGAACCTGTCCGACGGCACCAGGTACTCCCGATGGCGGAACAGGAGGTGAATAGCGTAATAGCCTCGCCACTGACCCGTGCACACAGCGTAGAGCAGATGCGCCAGATTGTGGACACCAAAGTCGAAAGGGACGCGATGTACCAGGTAAGGTCTAGGTACCAGGATCATCTCGGTCGGCAGCTGACCAGCGTTCCAGTACCAGCGATCCGGTCGATAGTACCGGTACGAATCCTGCCAGAACTTGAGGAACCGCGCGTTCCTGTGGGCAACGAGCACTTGGGTACCCAATGACTGCCCCGGATACCAACCCAGTGTCATCTCGTAGTGACGAAACGAGTCTAGAGATTTGACGAGATACGAATCACCGTCCAGAAAGATGCCGCCGTACTGGCGAAGTACCCGGAGTCGCGCAATGTCCGACGCGTGGTAGACTGAGCTCAGAGTCTTGCCGAAGATGTAGCGGGGCCGCCGAAGCAGTTTGAGTGACAGACCCGGAATGTCGCTGACCAACGGCCAGTGTGGGCCCTTCCTGGCGGCGTCGCACTCGTCGCAGTGGATCATGAGGGATTCGGGTCGCTGGTGAATCCAAGCAGCGCGGATGCAGACTGCATTGACGAACGACAGCGACGCGTTGCCCAGTCGCACGAAATGCACCACGTTGGGCACCACGAAGTGACTGAAGCCCGTCACGTTGTTGGCGTAAGTGAAGTCCACAAGATCGCCCGCCCACCAGTTCCTCGTGTCCACCAAAAGACGATCCGGTCCAACTCTTACGAGATACAGCACGATAAGGAAGCCGGTTAGTAGAACGATCCAAACGACAACAAATCGACGAAGGCGGACCATTGTAAATAGACATGGCGTACGCGTGCAAGCGTCGAGTGCGCAGGCCGCCGCCCCTCCAACGCGAACGCGCAAACCGGCTTCCACGCCCGCGTACAGTTGATCGGCAGCTCCCGCCAGGAAAGACTACATGATACGCTAGACTCCACGCCTTCGCCTATGACTGGCGTTTTTAGCGGCTGCGAGGATGGCGCCATTATTCATGAGGGCAAATTTAAACGTTGCTGATTTCGTTTACTGAGTTGGCTGCAGTGGCTAGCTCCGCGTTTGAAGCAGACGCAGTGTCTTGTCGGGGGGAAAAGGATATGCATTCTGGAAGACGCATAAAGTTCCACAAACATGATAATCCCAAATAGTAGTCGCTGTCAATCATTCACTGAATGGCGACTGCGAAAGGCAGAAACCGATCTACTGAAAGAGAAAAATGCATACAAGGACCTTTCCAAACGCGCCCGAAACCGAGAAGTAGCACCCTACTTTTCCACCTGACAGTAGACAAAGGCTCAAGGCTTCTTTTGACGTCATCGACGTTCCATTAAGAGCTTGGCGAAAGGAACATAGTTCTGGTAAGTCTACTCCAGGGTCAAATTGTGCAACATGTAGCCTCGGACATCAACAAAAACAAAACGACGCAGATCCTGTTTATATTTACGGCTATTTGTTTGGATTCCTTCGAAGGGGCCAGTTGACCTTTGATATCTGCTGTGTCTTGTCGGCGAGACCAAATCGGCAAAAACCGGATTTGCGAAACTTGCCTCTTCGTATATTATTTCCTTCACTCTCTCTCTCTCTCTCTCTCTCGTTTGAAAACCAGGCAAGAGGATGTTGCCCCCTATTCCCCTACCGGGTTCATGGTGTCGTTTTTTTAAGCGGCGCGCGTGTGCTTCGGAAAGGGGCAGAGCAGAAAAATAGAGAAGAAATTCTGTATTTGGGTGAACTCAGATTGGGGAGGGAGGAAAAAGGGGGGGGGGGGGGGGGGGGCATTCGGATGGAAGGTAGGGCAAAAGGCCACAAAATCGAACGAGAGCTCCCTTACAAAGTTATCGGTGCAGATCAGCCAGCAATCAGGCCGTACACAAAAGCAGCACAACTTGATCGAGGTTGAGTTCGAGGGAATGATCATTAAACAGAAATGACCAGAGGTTAGAACATATGTATATATTCACTCTATCGATGCGATGGCCACCAGACCTGGCATCTTCGTTTCTTTATGGCGATGAGATAATGGTTGTGGCGGTGAAGATCCTCATATGGAGTGTGTTCCAGTTTACCTCCGGCAACGTAAGCCAAGGGCTATCTAAGAACGTTAGTTCTTTGTTGGGAGTCACCAGCCGGGTACGTCCAATCCATAAGGCTCCAGTGTATTAAATCTTTTTGGAGAGGCTTCCAGGAATCTTCTCTTTGACTAGGCAGAGCGAGCTTGCACTCCCACAGGATGTGGTGTAGTTTGGGGACGGTCCCCTCTTCTTTGCACTTTTGACACTTACGTCCAGGGGGAGGGGCAAAGGGCTCCAATCTTTGGAGTCTAGCTAGGTATATATGACTTATGTAGACTGACGAGCGTGTTGGTTGAGTTGAGGAACAGCGAAAGAATAGGACAGAGGTGGGACGAGGGCCGACGTACTCTTTCTTTCATGAAAGAAAGTGTACGTTTTCCCTCGTCCCACCACCGGTGTCTTATTCTTTCGGTGCTTTTCTGAAAGTAATTCTTACGTAACATTTTTTTTAATCTTTGTTATATTTTATTCTACACAAGAACAAAATCACTCGCATAAAACAAAAAAAAAAAAACAAGACGGTGATTAAAGAAGAGTTGCGGCATGAAATTGTGTGCTACAGGGAATTGAGCTTGAACTAATATGCAAAATCATGCAGGTGTGAAAGCAGCAGCAAAAACCAATGACAGTCAATTCTGCTTATTTGTTTAACATACTGCAGTAGATCGAATATTATGCTGAGTCCGTTGCAACCTAAGAACGAAGGGCGAGGGTAAGACGGGCTGGGGAGGAGGAAGCAGACGGAACGCTAAAGAAGAGAGGGGGAGACCTCCTTCTCTCTTTAGCGTTCCGTCTGCTTCCGTCTGCTTCCGTTTCCCCGGCCCGTCTTACCCTCGCCCTTCGTTCTTAGGTTGCAACAGACAGTATGTAAACTGTGACGTGGTATCAACTCTTACGCCGGGCCCGTATCACTGGTCATGTTAGGATCGAGCAATAACGCGAAGGTCGTACAACACCTGCATACGTGTGAGATCTAGATCGTGTCGAAACCGCTGGCAGAGTTGAAGCTTCAACTGCCGGCAAATTAAAAATCAATTGACGCGCTGTCGGATTCCATGACGTCAAGGAAGAGCGGAGATAATCGGAATTTTCTTGCATTCCGCTTCCAATGCCTGCAGCGCCGGGAGGAGGAAGTTGTGTAAGCACGCATGCGGTATGGCTTCCTACGCGTTGTTGCTTCATGTCACTTTGCCCCTTGTCTTCTTGCTTCACCGTCAGCGTACGGCGAAACATGACGTTGAGAAAGCTAGACACGCGCGCGGTGAGGAAGTACCATCTACACACAAAGCTTCATTTTGCAATCGAAATAAAACCCGACCACGACCTACATACCTGCGTACATACTTCGCCCCCAAGCAACTTCTTCGGCATTCGTTGTCTTCGTGGGCTTTGCTCTACTCCCGGCTAAACCAATCACTCATAAAGAGAAAAAGCGCAGGATCGCGACTCATTCACAGCGCGTGATTGGCTTAAGTCGATCGATGAAAGTGAATGGACAAAGAGGAGGAACGCCGTGACGAGGCACTTTTGGCACTGCTTGGTTGGCGGATCGTGCGTAAGCTGCGGTAGGACTTGGACAAGAATCGCGTTCTGCGCGCTGCCATCTTTGTCTGCTGAGCTGTGGAACGCCTTGTGAGCATGCGCTGTTGTCTGCAGATGCTGCGCATGCGTCCACAACTCAGTGACTCGACTTTTTTTTCCCGCGATGGAATGGTCTATATACCACGAATAATATCACGCAAATCCGTTTGCCAATTTTTCTGATGTGCTGTTGGTGATGTTGTTGGGGAGGCAGAGGCTTTGTCAAGCAACTAAAAAGTTGCTTTTTTTCTCTTCTTCCCCTCTCCATTTTGGAAAAAAAAAAAAATTGGAGTTTGAATTGAAAATGAAGTTTTACACACAAAACAAATTTTACTCTCTTAAAACGCGTGTGCTGAAGACATGCACCCATGGCTACACACTTTTAGCAGCCTTATTTTGAGCGATGCACCCATTTTAATCGTAGGATAGCGTGCTTTTGCATGGAACAGCCTTCGTATGTTAAAGGGTGCGAAAAGGGGAAAGGGGGAAAAAGTGATACAGTAAAGTCGCACTTTAAAACAGCTTTAGCGGAGGTTGTTTTAGATACTATGTCGAATTATAACAGTCTGTACCAATTCCTTTTACTAGGAGATACATTCTTAGAACTTAGATATGTCATGCTTTACGCGAAGTATTGACGAGAACAATGCGTACTTGTAACATTTTTAATTGCGGTGACGGTCGTCTGCGAATAAGCGCCTCTGAATTGTCGAATATATAAGACAGTCAACGGGGTCGCGATTTGCTGCAGTATCGAGCAACACGGTCGGGGTCGGGGTCGTGATTCCTCTCTTATGCCTGACTTACTGCGTCTGTACTGGCCTTTTCTGTGCACGAGCGAACTGCACGTGGCACTTGTTGCTCGTAAAACAATATCCCTAGAAGACTACTAGGATTGCCATCACCTTACACCCTTCTTGTAACACCCTTGTAACACCTAATACAAACTACAATGTTTTTTTTTTTTTTTTTTTTTTTTTTTGCGTGTAGGTATATTTTGCGCATACGAAGGTTGTTAAAAGACACAAGTTAACGATCCCACGTCCACCTTTTTTGATCTGGATTAGTATGATACACCGGCGTGCGATTGTGTATATGATTACTGCGCAGCTGCCATATAGTCCACTGGCTAAATTACAAATTTAGCAGCGGGGACATCAGACGCTGGTTGGCCAGACCAACTACACGCTCTCTAGCTTCCATAAAACAGATGCCTTTTTGCAAGTTAGTGATTTGATAATTCTCAAAATTCAAACTAATGTACTACATCCAGTGGGGTCGCAACAGGGGGAGGGGGTTTGTATTCTTCCACCATATATATATGGGTGGTTTCATCTCAAATCGTGCAGGCAAAAAGGGTCGAATTTTTAATTTCGATGAAAAAAATATATGTTATGGCGCCGTTTCTAAAACCGCAGTCACCACAAACCGCAAGTTTGTCGGATTTTTTGTTCTCGACTTATGAATTTTTAAAGAGGCCGCGGCGAAAAGCAGTGTTTTTCACACTCGCCGTGGGTCGGATGTTTCGCTTGATCTCCCGCCGTGGATTTTCAGTCCACATTATATTATATTTTTTAAAGCACTCTGTGGACACATTTAAAAGGCTCCAATACCATGAAATAATTTTAGGCGTTTTGCTTTTTTTCTGTAAAAATGTCAAAAACGCCTCCTCGGTCAATTGTTGACGAACTTTGACAATTAATTACTGGCGATCTACTTGGGTTACACCGATTTTTTTTATGTCCACGGAGAGCCCAAAACACGCTCTTTATATTTATTATAAAATGACTCGGCTGTATAAAATATCCTTTGCGGTACGTTAACGTTAATATTATGCAAAAACCACAAAGTACCATTTTTGAAATCGATTTTCTCAAAAAACCCATTTTTTATTTTTTTTATTTTTTGTTCAAATGTAGATATGATAGTTGTCTACACGAAAATCAACCCTAGAAAGTGTATATTTTGTTTGTATGTTTTATATTTAGGCCTCAATATCGGAAAAAAAACGTCTTTGTTTTGCGAGACCTAAGTCAGACATTGCGACCCATGCGTCTCTATGAATTGTGAAAAAGTTTTCTTGAATTTTCTTCTGCATTTTGTAATCAATTATAAACGAATTTTGTGGTATTGATTATTTATGTATGTTTTGATAAGAGCGGGAACCACGAGATACATATCTAACCAAATCAGCAGGCCTAGTAGACTTTCAATAACCAAAAGGCACAGACGTTCTATTGTTTCGATTTATAAAG